AGATCTTTAGTTTGTCATTTGTAGTTTAGTTTGTTTATAGTTATTGAGCTGTGGGCCATTTATTTTGTATTTTTTTGCTTCAACAGTTTTCATATTTAAATTTAGGTTAGTGTGTTTACACTTCTCATTTAACAGGAGGGAGTTGTGTTAACGTTTTGTATAAACTTGTATATAAAAACCTTTTGTAAAATAAAACATTCATACCATCATTGAACACCTCATTATTTTACTCCCGCTGTTTTCTTTTCCACTAGATTAACCTACCTTTTATTTTCTCATTTCACTCTGTTGTACTTACACACACAAACAGCTAGACTGCCAGTGGGGTTGCGAGAAACTTTACAATTTGTGAAGTCTTTGTCAGTCAGAAGATGTTTTGCAATGACCAAGATCAGGAATGACATAATTTAATGTTTGTTTCAAGTCAGTGGATTACAAGCAGCAAATTCTATCGTTTTCCTGTTGGTTTACGTACAAAGTAATAGTTTCTGAGCCACACTAGTCCAGACTAGGCCACTGGAAGCCTTTGTAGAGTCCAGCTTCATCTGGGAAGGCTGCTCTGATGGCGTTCACCACACAAGATGGCAGAGGCTTGCGGATGTGTCGCCCAATGATGCCATGTGTCCATCGGATCATCTATCTATAAGCAACATAACAATACTGTCTTCAAAATGAAGAAGTGGAATTGTCAGCAATGTTACAGATTTGTCTTTTATTGTTAGCAGGAATTTTTTAATGACTACTTTCAGTAGCATTTTGTCAAATATGGATGATGACAATGATGCACTGTTGCTAAACTTAATACTTATGACATTAGTGGATCAATATGTTCTTACTCATTGAACTGCAGATGTAGGGGCCCATGTTGCTCCTTAAATGTTTGATAAGCTAGCATGAACACAAAAGGATTCAAGCAGCAGCCCACAAATCCAGGATGGCCCGTTACACAGAGGAGATGTGATACTGGTGGGTCCAGAATCAACAAGAGCTCCCTGAGTGGTTCCAGTTCCTGACCACAAATACTGTGAATAATGTTGTCCATTGGCCCACACCGGCCACAACGACACCTAATATGCAGTAAAAAAAAAAAAAAAGCAAATAAAATAAGAGAATGATCATGACTGAATCTTGACAGAAAACTTAATCCCACAGAGCATTACATTATGGCCAATTACTGTCATTCATACAGCAAAATAAGTTACTTATTGTTAAAATGTCAAATTAATTAAGTAAAGCTACAATAGGTCACAGTTTTAAGGTGGAGACTTTTTGGGACATTAGATCTGCAACGTTTCATTTGTAAAACCAGAATCCCAAACCATATGAAAAGGTTTGTGGAGGGATCATGAATAATGTCATCAGCCTAGAATCTTTTTTGCTGAATCACAAGGATATTTTCACATGGATGGCTTACCAGGCTAGGCTAATGTAATAACCGCTAATGAAACAAAGCTAATTTAACAAAGGGGTGCTAGGGCTATGAAGAACTTTGACCCAAACTTTGTATAACTTAACCATTTTTAATTTGAGTTTAATATTTCTTTAAGTTATGTGGCTAGGCATTTGATGTAATCTGTCAGAGGGCATTTTCTGTCGAAATATCTTTAAAAATAAAACATGCTCTTACCAGTTAGCATTTCCAAGTCTGTGTGCATTTTGAAGTTCCCACGTTTCTATGGCTCTTCTTTTACCATTGAAATTACCTCTCTTTTGCCTGTTCTCATTCCCTCTTGCTGCTGGCTCAAAACTGTATGGCTGTGCAACTTCAGTATTATAAATAACTGTAAATTCGTGTTCAAATTCCAACGCCTCGTCCTGCTGCTGTGAATCCATTGCTTAGTAGAGTTGGAAATGTTTTCCTCCGTGTGCATCACCTCCGGTTTCCAGCTAGAGGCACCATTTTAAACTGGATTAGCTAGGTAAGCAGAGTCAGATCATTAAGAACTCGTTTTATTTTCAAATATCTTCCTTTTATTCAATGAAAATATAAAGTTTAGGCATATTACTATATAAGCACTTCAACGTGTTTAAAATGAAAGATGGCCTTGAAGCAGAGGACAAGTCTGGCAGGCCAGGCTAGAGCCTCCTTGGTAAGGTCTATTCTGTGTTTCTGGGGAGGAGGGTCTGGTGGATTGTCGAACCTCTGATTCAGGAGGAGCAATGTGGTTTTTGTCCTGGCCGTAGAACACTGGACCAGCTCTATACCCTAAGGAGGGTCCTGGAGGGTGCGTGAGAGCTTGCCCAACCAATCTACATGTGTTTTGTGGATTTGGAGAAGGCATTCGACCGCTTCCCTTGGGGGGGTCCTTCATGGGATACTTCAGGAGTATGAGGTACCAGGCCCTCTGATATGGGCTGTTAGGTCCCTATATGACCGGTACCAGAGCTTGGTTCGCATTGCCAGCAGTACGTTGGGCTCATTTCTACGTCACCATTTCTGTTAAATCTTTATCTGTCAACATAAGCTCTCATTTATTCATTTATTGTTTTATTTAACCAGATGAGTTGATTGACAATTATTTTTCTTTTAAGACGACGATCTGGCCAAGAGGCAGCAGCAACAGACACATAGTTAGCTTTACACCAAAGAAAAACAGATAAGATAAAAACATACAAAATAAAAATAAGGTAAAACAGTTTGACATAAAGAACTGTTCTCATCAATAATATGTACAAGCATTCAAAACAGACTTTATAAAAGTGTTGATTGCAGTAAGTTAAGGTTGAAGATCATGAACTTTGTTTTACTTGTTTTTATGAAGATGAAGGTTGGAGTAGGCATGTTGAATGCAATAAAAAGAAAAAGCTGCATATAAAATGGTGTCATCTGCATATAAATGTATATGGAACCTCAGCAGCATTAACAATGTTACTAATATAGATTTTGAATAAGGTTGGGCCCAGAATCGACTTTGGAATTAAACAGGCAGCGCCTCCGCCCTCCACGTGACCAATCCATGAACCGTGTGAGTGCCGAACCGTAGACAGAGATCCGTATGGATCAGTGATGATCCGTTGCACTCCTACCAATTACCCATGGCACCTCTCTTGATTTTATTCTGTTTACTGTAGAGCAAGTTCATAAAATTATTAGAACTCTTGATCACAGAACACCCTCTGATCCAGACATAATAGAACCTGTTACAACCCCGACATGTGTTGTTAAAATGTGAAGGAGGGGGTAACATAAAACATGATAGTGGGTTTCAAACGGGTTTAATTGTCATAAAAGGTTCTAAAAACAAGTGAGCAAACTGATGGAGAGCGTTATTAAAATAATGCCAAACAAAACAAATTCTCAAAAAGGTTAACATTAAAAGATTAATTACCAACAATTAAAACACCTGCTTAAAACTTATTGTATAAGACCAGACCAGAGTCAATAAAATTGCATCACCAAGTTAACCTTTAAAACGATCCCTCTGGATCACTCAGAGCTTTAACTTTTTTTAAGCTCATCAACTAAGAGTTAAAACTGGCACGGTGGAGCGGTTGTTAGCACTGTTGCCTCGCAGCACGAAGGTTGCAGGTTCGAAACTCGGCTGCGGTGGAGTTGCGTGTTCTCCCCATGCATGCATGGGTTTCCTCCGGGTACTCCCAGTTTCCCCCACAGATCACAACATGCCCTATAGGTTATAAATTGTAAGTCGCTTTGGATAAAAGCGTCTGCCAAATGAATAAACATAAAACTATGAAAGTTAAAATTAATCAATTTGAAGTGGTTGAAACCAAAATCTGAGGCCTGGAGGACAGCAGAACCCCTGCACTGCTGAAGGCACAGCCTTTTTATCCCAGGTGTAGGTCATCAGAGGGATTAGCTCAGCTGTGCTCCTCAGCAGCCTGGAGGAGAGGAGGAGGAGAGGCGGTGTCTGGCTGATCACCGGGGCTGGGTGATCCTGGCTCCTGCACCTGAAGAGGCCAGGCTGGTGGTCTTAACAGAACCCTATTTTTTGAAAATGGCTGCTAATTTCATAGCAGAGCCTCTTACAGTCCTTTTTAACCTTTCTATCAAAAACAAGCAAATACTATCAGTTTGGAAGTCTGCTTTTGTGACTCCTTTACTAAAAGGTGGTGACCCAGCTCTATTAACGAATTACAGACCAGTATCTAATCTGTATGTCGTGGCAAAAATTCTAGAGATCCTAGTAAGTGAGCAATTGAAATAGTCTTAATATTCAAATGACCTTCTTTCAAGTCTTCCATCAAGTTTCAGGAAAAAATGAGAAATAGTATTCATGCTCTGGCATTGTTGTTAGCTGGTGAGTGGTTGCTGGACTGATTTGTGATGTGCCGTATCTCTTGCCATGCACGTCGTGGGTCTGAATTGTCAAATTGGCTCTCAATCCTTCTCTTGTAAGTCACCTTGGCCTCTCTGATGCTCCTCTTCAGCTCTGACCTGGCAGCGCTGTATTGTTGAGCATCGCCAGACCTGAAAGTTTAGTCAAGGGCCTTGAACAGGAACCTGACATCTTTGGTCATCCATGGCTTGCAGTTGGGGAAGTTGTGGATTTTCTTTGTTGTTGTAACAGTATCCGTGCAATGTTTTATGTAGGAGAGAACTGTGGAAGTGTAGGTCTCGATGTTTTCATCTTTGAGAATGGACCAGTTGGTACTGTCAAAGCAGTCCTGTAACTGTTGTGATGCTCCTTTGGGTCACACCGTGATAACTCTGGTCTCTGCTTTCACTTTTTTGATGAGTGGTCTGTGTGCTGGGTTAAAAACAGGGAGATGTGGAGGAGGGCTGTTGCTTTCAAACCTTGCTTAATTTTGCTATTAATAGGACAAACGCTCCAGGACGCTCAGATTTTCTGCGTCGTTTCGTAGTGACAGTGACAAAAATTACTGTGAAAAACTACAAAGACTGTGTCAGAGTTTCCTTGAACAGTCACAAGTTTTCATTCTAACAGCATTTCTTTCTATCCTCTGCTTCTTGCTCACCTTGTCCTTTGAAACTGTGTTGGTGGTAATACATTTTTTCTTTTGTCTTTTAACCTGTCCAGAACTTCCACAGCATCATGTCTTGGAAAAGGAGGAGGTTCTGACTGACCAGCAGCTCTCTAACCAGGAGACCACCTCAGATTTGAACCAAAAGGAACTGCAGGAACTCTGTATTGGTCAACGTGAAGGGCTGTTCACTGGGAAGCAGGAAAATGTTTTCTTTAAAATTTCTTCTTCTGAAGACACAGACAGCTGGGAACCAGAACTAAACATGAACCAACCCTTGTGTCACAGTTTTACTGAAGATGAGAACCAAGATCAGGATGGACGCAGAAATGAATATTCAGAACCAAACGACAACAAACGTCAACAGACCAAAGATCACAGAGACGGTGTAGACAGTCACAAACTAAAAAGACACAAGGTGGCTCACAGAGACAAGCAACAATTTTCATGTCCTTTCTGTGGGAAACCTTTTAGTTGCAAGTCTTTTTTAACTTGTCACATGAGAACTCACAAAGGTCAGAAACCATATGTTTGTAAAACTTGTAATAAAGATTTTGCCAGCAATAGTACCTTGATTAAACACATTAGAACTCACACAGGTGAGAAACCATATCCTTGTAAAACTTGTGGTAAATCTTTCTCTCAATTTGGTAACTTGATTTGTCACACGAGAACTCACACAGGTGAGAAACCCTATCCTTGTAAAACTTGCGGTAAATGTTTTTCTCAAATTGGGAACTTGACTCGTCATCTGAGAACTCACACACGTGAGCAACCATATCCATGTAAAACCTGTGGTAAATGTTTCTCTCAAATTGGCCATTTGACTACTCACATGAGAATGCACACAGTTAACAAACCATATCCATGAAAAACTTGTGGTAAATGTTTCTGTTGGAGTTGTCACTTGAATCGTCAAACGAAAACTCAGCAGAGGTGAAAAGTTTATTCTATATTTGATCTGTATAGCAAGATTCAGCGAAACATTTTCTTTAACTTCTCATGTGAAATTTCACACCTGAAATGTATTCTTAAAATGTGTTTGTTAAATGTTTTCCTCACCAAAGTAACCTGACTCAAAACACGAGAATGCATACAGTTAAGAGTATACTAGCCTAGTTTGACACAGATACAAGTTTTTTTTTTGTGTGTGTGTTTTTAATTTCCGATCATTTTTTGTGGATTTGTTCTTTTATTAAATTCTGCTTTCATGCTAATCTTTAATTCTTTATTTTTTAGAAAAGTTCATTGTGTTTACTAATCCTGGTAATTGTTTCTATCAATGTTTGCAAAAACATTTGAGCAACAACTGCTGAAGTGAAGGTTCTGGCTCTTAATAAAGCAACGAGAAAGCTGTCCATGATTCAATCAAAAGGTTTTAATTTCAAAATTGCAATATCAAAAATGAGGAGACAGTCACAGCTGAGCTCCAGGAAGCCCTTAAATCCATGCCTAATAGGAAAGCTCCAGGTCCAGATGGGTTCCCAGTAGAGGTGGGAAAAATGATCGATTCTAAGATGCATCCCGATTCAGCCGTGCATGATTCCGCATCGATGCAGCAACGTGACATAATGAGATTCTCTCCCTATGTCTATGTCGGGGGTCAGCAATCCGCGGCTCTGGAGCCATATGCGGCTCTTCCATCCATCTGATGCGGCTCTCTGTGCTTGTAAAATAATGAATGGATATTTAAATAAAATGCTTTATATTTTACTGCATTAATTTTACATCTGTTAGCTAATTCTATATGTAAAGATTGTCTGCGTAAACCTGAACAGTTCCAACCCGGTCTTACTGTGAGACCGGGTTGACGCGTCACGCTTGTGCGTAATCATAGGCGCATTCTGAGCTGAAGAGGATATGAGAGTCTGGGATTCTCCTCAGACAGGCTCCTGGATGTGTCGCCACATTGGAGACAGGAACAAGCACTATTCAGCCAAAGTTTCATAATCCGGGAACATTTTCTAAGTGACAAGTCTCGCTTCAGTCGGAGGAATCTTCCTGCATGCGCTCTGGTTCTGCGACGTGCTCCAAGCCCCTCTCCACATCTTCAGCCCGCTGTGGACCTTATGTAGTACATGCTGACAGCGAGCTGCGCTGAGCAGTGTCCAGCTCAGATGTTCAGATGGGAATCTTTTCTTGAGTGATTTAGCTACATCTGCGATGTGCGAAACGAATAAAATGTCAGTTCGTCTGCATGCGTCGGGGTAATTCTTTCTATTCTTTCTCCGTCAAAATAAATAGTCAAATACGGGAACTGTCCAGTCAACACAACACAAGCCTTGCTTTTAACTGTTCTGTTTTCTTGTGAAAATTGTTGCAAAGAGATATAATTTAACTTGATAAACACCAGAGCCTGGCGCACTGCGCCATTATCTCCGTCATTGTAAATGTGGGAAAAAAACAAAATGATCGGATCCTTTTCTGACCTTCCTCACCTACAAAGTTTAAATACAACAATCAAACGTGATAGAGCCTAGATTTGTATTCTGAACAGTCTAAACATGTTTTTAAAAGAAATGTATGACAAAAGTGGCACGTGCTCAGTAAAACCACCAACAGGGTGAAACATATCAAAATATTGTAGGCAGAGACGGGCTACAACTTCTGGATCCACTTTATATAAATTATTTTATTGATTATCTTCTTATGAAAGATAACTTTGACGTACACGAGTGACCGGTACTGGCTGCTGTCACCTGTTGTGAGCAGCTCTCTGCTGTCTGAGGGTAGGCCCTGCCCACAACACCGTGGCTGCTGTGGCTCCGTGTTTTCTTTACTGTCGGAAACGGGTAATAATGGCTCTTTGATGGGAACAGGTTGCCGACCCCTGGTCTATGTCTATGCGAGGACAATAAAGTTTTGAGGTTTTACAATTACTTCTGGGGGCAGAGTTGCAATGACATGCGCACTGCGTTGTCCTAGAAGCAATTGGACAGGGATACAGGGCCAACATTACCAGTAATCAAAGATGTACCCGTTACATTTAAATCGGATGTCTGGGCTAATTTCGGTTTTGGGATCCTGGATGTGAAAGAATCACTTAACACAGTATTTGTTTACTATTTTTAAGTTCAGTAATATTCTATCTTAAAGCTGCTCTACCGAAAACATTATTTCTTATATTATTTAAGTAATTATAGGCAGCACACTTTAAAAATTATTGCTCACTATTAGGGCTGTCGCGGTAACCGCAAAAATGAAATATCGCAATATGAAGAAGCCCACCGCGCTGCATCATGGGCCACCGCGATTACTGAACTTGGTTCAACTCAATGATGCATGTTGAGAAGGATGGCTGCACTGGTATCAAAACGAAACGTTACTTCGCTCCTTTGGGAGCACTTTGGTTTTCAGTACGTCAGCTGCTGCGCAGCCAGAGTCCTTGGCCGAGACAGAGCTGCCATCAGCGGCAAAATAAATAAATAAATAAATAAACGCTTGGAGACCTGCTGAAGTCCCGGACAAGCACTGCTTCTGCAACCGTCCCGAAGAGAGTTTGAGCCGAGCTGGAGCTCACTCGCTACCTGCAGGAGGAATGCATCCACCCTAAAGAAACCCCCCTGACATGGTGGAGCAACAACCGGGAGAGATTCCCTTTGCTCGCCAGAGTCGCACGCAAGTACGTGTGCGTTAGTGCAACGAGCGCACCATCCGAGAGGGTTTTCAGTGTTGCTGGAAATGTTGCCACCCCTCTCAGATCCTCTCTCAAACCGTATATAGTTATCATGCTGGTTTTCCTTGTGGGCAACAAGGACGTGACCGAGCTATAAATCACCGTCATTCGTGTGTGTGAAAGTGAAATGATAGTGCGCCTGCCCCCCGGCGCGCGCGTGCCCGGTACATGTAATTTTTTTATGCTTGATTTTAAACAACTAAACAAAATGGGGACTTGTTTCTTATTTGTTAGATGCTGCAGCCAAATTTGCATTTAAATGTTTAACCTCCTGAATTTTGTTGTTTTTAAGTTCAGTCGGACTCTGACTGTCGGAGAAACAAACGTTACTGCGGTTGTTACTGCCCTTTGATCTGCATTCAGTAAAGTGTTATTGAAGAAGGCACGGCAATTTTTAACCTTTTTTAAATGTGTAAACATTATGTTTAGATAGTACTGCAATAAAAAAAGGGCTGCAATAATATCGCACACCGCAATATTAAGCCACCCTGAATCACCGCAGGGGCAATTCCTCAACCGCGACAGCCCTACTCACTATAGTGAATAGATGAATGTTCTGTTTTTCAGGGATTTCGAAATCAAAAAGAAATTGAAAACTATTCTACTGCTTTTATTAAGTAATGAAAATTTTTGTGTGAAGAATTGTGATGCATTTCACACTCAAATCGAATCGTTAGGCAGATAATCGGAATCGGATCGAATCGTGAGGCAGGTAGAGATGCACACCACTAGTTCCCAGCAGAGTTCTACAAAGAATTCTGGATCATTCTGGCTTCAATATTCTTCAGAATGGTGAGGGAAATCGAAGAGAGCGGCAGATTTCAGCCAAACATGAATTCAGCCAATATTAGTCTTTTATTAAAATCAGGAAAAGACTCTGTATTTCCTACCAGCTATCGCCCAATTTCTCTTATTGTTTGTCTCAAAATAATTTGTAAAGCCCTGGCAAAAAGATTAGAGAAGCTAACCCCCTTTATAATACACCCTGACATGTGATCAACGCTTCACTGACATCCGGTACATTTCCCATCTCTCTCAAGCATGCTCAGGTTAAACCGCTGCAAAAAAAACCCCATCTCTTCCTCCAAATCATGTGGAGAACTACCGACCTATCTCTCTCCTCCCTTTTCTGTCCAAAATCATTGAAAAGGTGGCTTTCAAGCAGATCACAGAATACCTCTAACAAAACTGTCTGCTTGGCCCTTGCCAATCTGGGTTCAAAAAGGGCCACTCCACTGAAACTGCTCTGTTAGCAGTGACGGAATCTTTAAAAGAAGCTAGAGCGACTGCCAAATCCTCAGTGCTTATCCTGCTCAACGTATCGGCTGCATTTGACACTGTCAACCATGGCTTCCTTTTGTCCACACTCTCCAGCGTGGGCATCACAGAGAAAGCACATGCCTGGTTTGAATTGTACCTCACAGGACGATCATTCAGTGTATCTTGGCTTGAACAATCCTCTACCATGCACCATCTTGCCACAGGAGTCCCCCAGGGCTCTGTACTAGGACCTCTTCTCTTTGCCATATACACCACCTCACTGGGTGAGATCATTCGATCACATGGCTTCTCCTACCACTGCTATGCAGATGACACCCAGCTCTAGCTGTCATTTTTATCAGACGACCACACTGTCTGCACGAATATCAAACTGTCTCTCTGACATATCAAAATGGATGAAATCTCACCATCTCCAACTCAACTTTTCTAAAACCCAGCAAAACCATCCATACACCACAATATCTCAATCCAAAATGACTTCCTATCTCTGGCTCCTTCAAAGGCAGTTCGAAATCTGGGTGTTGTGATTGATGAACACCTGACTTTTAAAGATCATGTTGCCTCTGTTGCTCGTTCATTCCGCTTTGCGCTGTATAACATATGAAAGATCAGACTATACCTAACACAACATGCCACCCAGCTCCTGGTGCAATCTACTGTCATCTCCCACCTCGATTACTGCAATGCCCTTCTAACTGGTCTTCCAGGCTGTACTTTGAGACCTCTTCAAATGGTCCAGAACTTCAATCAGCCAAAAAGAGCACACATCACCCCTCTGTTCATATAGTTCCACTGGCTACCACTAGCAGCACGCAACAAATTGAAATTGCTAACACTAGCATACAAAGTCCGAGATGGTACGACTCCCATCTACCTGAATCCTCTTGCAAAGGCTTACGTCTCGGCCCAGCCGCTCCGGTCATCACAAGATCGTCGGCTAGCAGTGCCTACACCACGCTCAGGACGATCCAGGCTCTTCTCATGCATCGTTCCACAAATGTGGAATGACCTACCAAGCACTACCAGAACAGGGGCTTCCTTTTCGATTTTCAAGGAACTCCTGAAGACCGTGCTCTTCAGAGAGCATCTTTTAAACTAGCACCCTCCCTGCACCCGTCCCCCCTCTCTACTGTCCACTCCTAGTTCCCTCCTCTCCATGATTGATGTCAAGTTGTTGTTGTTATTGTTAGCCTCAAGGGCAACATGCCGATTATCACTTGTAAGTCACTTTGGACAAAAGCGTCTGCTAAATACATAAACATAAACATATTGGGTGATGTGGGTGATGGGGTGGAGGGTCTGAGTTTGGAGTATCCGGACATTACCTGAGGGTGGATTCACCGGGGGCGTCTGGGGCTGGGGGGCTGCTGTCCCCCCTCTGGAGGTGCTTGGGTTGTCTCGGGGAATGGACTACTGGCGGATGTGAGTGGGGCCCCTTGGGGGTCTTGGCGGTGGCCATGGGTTGCTGCCTGGCGGCTGCAATGCCCCTGAGTAGGTCTGGGTGGGGGCCTGGGGGCTCGGGTTGTGGGGTTGGCCCGCCCCTTGTGGGGATCTGGGCGGGGCCTTGGGGGTCGGGTCCTGACATGTATGCTGCCGGGAAGAAGGTGGGAACATACGGCAGTGCCTGGCCCGGGCTCATGGGCCTCAGGAAGACCTTGGCTCCTCGGCAGTCCATTGGGGGGAGGGGGATGTCCAGGAGGGGGAGGACCCAACCTTACCTGGATGTCCTATGTCTTATATATTTTGGAAGCTGTGCAAATGCAGGGATGGGAGTAGATATTCTGCTGGGGTGGGGCTGCGTTGGTTCCCTTGGACTCCGTGGAGCTCTGCAGTACTGCTGCTTTGGGCCTTGGCAAGATGGGCTGGGGTCTCCATGCCCTGGGTGGCATTTTGGCAACGGAGATGCCTTTTGGGCCAGTGGGGGGAGCTGGCTCCCTGGAGGGCTTAGGCCAACCAGCAATTCCTCCCCATCCCCACATATTTTTCTCCTCCTGTGTTTGTAATTGTTACTAGAACTGTCAAAGTTAACTCGTTGTCATGGTAACAAAGTTATTAACTCAAATAATTATTATATCACACATTAGTGCATTTTTATTGTTTTTAAAGTCTGTTGGTTGCTAACTACGAACTGAGTAAAAACTCAAACACACATGAAAAATGTCATACAGTTATGATTTGTAATGAATTTGCGGTTAATCGTGAGTTAACTAATAAATTCATGGGAATGATAAAAATTTAAACAATTTGTTGGTTGTTGGCTCTAACTGTTGCGTTAATAAACTTTTGCTTTGTCTTTCATCCTGTCCAGAACTTCCACAGCATAATGTCTGGGAAAAGGAGGAGGTTCTGACTGACCAGCAGCTTTCTAACCTGGAAACCACCTCCAGTTTGGATCAAAAGGAACCAGAACCTCCACTGATCAAAGAGGAACATGAAGAACTTTTTTTCCATCAGAATGAAGGGCAGTTCATTCTGAAGCAGGAAAATGTTTCCTTCATTGTTACTACTACTCATGAAGAAATTGAAAACTGTGAACCAGAACAAAGCAGGAACCAGTCTTTGTGTCAGAGTTCTACTGAAGCTGAGAACCAAGATCAGGATGGAAGCAGGAATGAAAACTCAGAACCAACCAGCAACAAAGAACTGACATGGAATAAAAGACGTCCACAAACCAAAGATCACAGAGACAATTTAGACAGTCAGAAACTAAAAAGACACAAGAGGGCTCATAGTGATAAGAGACGGTTTTCATGTAAACTCTGTGGGAAATCTTTAATTTACAAGTCTTTAACTTGTCACATGAGAACTCACACAGGTGAGAAATCACTTAGATGTAAAACTTGTGGTACATTTTTTACCCAAAATAGTGACTTGATTAGGCACATGAAAACTCACACAGGTGAGAAACCGTATCCTTGTAAAACTTGTGGTAAATGTTTCTCTAGGAGTGATCACTTGACTACTCATATGAGAACTCACACAGGTGAGAAATCACTTAGATGTAAAACTTGTGGTAAATTTTTTACCCAAAATAGTGACTTGATTAGGCACATGAAAACTCACACAGGTGAGAAACCGCATCCTTGTAAAACTTGTGGTAAATGTTTCTCTAGGAGTGATAACTTGACTACTCATATGAGAACTCACACAGGTGAGAAACCGCATCCTTGTAAAACTTGTGGTAAATGTTTCTCTAGGCGTTCTTGTTTGGCTTGTCACATGAAAATTCACCACAGGTGAGAAGTCTTTTTTTTCCCAGGTTTGATCTGTAGAGTGAGATTCAGACAAATATTCTCATGTGAAATTTCACTCTTGATTCGTAAAATGTGTTTGTTAAATGTTTTCCTCACCAAAGTAACCTGACTCAAAACATGAGAATTCATACAGTTAAAGAGCAAACTGCAGATATATATCTTTTTTCATATAAAACACTGTTCATAAAATGCTATTTGAAACACTTATTGTGGGTATTTTGTTTTGCAATACATAATGGCACTTTTTTTAAAGTAAAAAGTGGCCTATATCAGCAAAGCTTCAAAAAACACTTTTTTAAAACAAAAAATTAACCTAGGATGTAATAGAGAGTTATAAGCTAGTCCTGCCTCAAGCACTACCAAGTAGGGTATTTATGGATATATTGTGATTTCTTAGTGGATATTCTATTAACTAAGAAATAAACTTATTTTGTCTTTATCTTAGTGAATCTATAATTAATTAAGCGGGTAAACTAGCACATCCAATGTCAAAGAAAGTAAAATGTTATTATCAGGAGAGGGAGAATGTTTAACTGGTTAGCAGCAGTGTTCAAGTCGATGGCCCCCACCATGAGGCCACCACAGCTCAGCAAAACACCGTTAGTTAACAGTTAAATTGCAGAAAATAATGCAATTAAGAGAGAAATTATAGAAGTATTAAAGTGTGGAAAGTGGTCACTATGTCCTCCAGCAGTCTAAGCCTATAGCAGCATAACTACTGAGAATTTTGGATAACCTAGTCTTTTAGATGGAGGCAGGGCAAGGGAGAGCCATCTTTACTGACTTTTCCCCACTTTACATTCCCTCTTCCTCTACACCCCAGTTGTCCAGATCTGGGCTAACATCAGAATTTAATCATAGGCCCTATCAAATAAAAATGTTTAAGCATAGGCTCAAAAGCAGACAAGGCGTCTGACTCATGAACTAAAGCTGTGAGCTGGTTCCACAAGAGAGGAGCCTGATAGCTAAAAGATCTTCCATCCTATATTTAAATATTCTGGGAACCACCAGTAAACCTGCAGTCTGAGAGCGAGGTGCTCTGTTAGGAACATATGGAACAATCAGGTTACTGATGTATGATGGAGCTTGATTATTAAGAGGTTTATATGTGAGAAGAAGGATCTTAAAATCTATTCTGAATATAACAGGCAATAGGGCTGCACAATGTATCACAAATATATAGTTATCGCGATATCCGCATGCACAAATATGCATATCGCAAAGAACAGATAAATATCGCAATGAATGGTCAGCTCAAATGTTTCTACACATAATGCATTCTGTCAATCAAATGGAAGCATGGTGTTTTTTTAACAAATCAAATAGAGCTCTTCACCCATTTGGCCAGTTGGGTGGATTCTCATAGGTTAGATTCCTGCCCCCGAGGTGGACGGCACTTAATTTTGATGGTTAGCAAACAACTTGTTCTGCTCTTTTTGCTGATTCTGCTTTTTCCGGGATCCACTGATTGCCTTTTCTTGTTCATTTTCTTTTTCCCTTTCCTCACATCGTTTGCTTTTCTCATTTTTATTATTTTTTTATTTCTTTGCTTTTGATTATTTTTGTTCCTGAGTTAAATTTATATTTATCGCAAGTAATGTCGTCATTGCAATGTTAATCAATACTATTGCATATCGCAGGTTTTCCTATTATCGTGCAGCCCTAACAGGCAACCATTGTAGGGAAGCTAAGACAGGAGATATATGATCTCTCGTTTTAATTCTCATCAGAACTCTAGCTGCAGCATTTTGGACAAGCTGAAGACTTTTAACTACATTCTGTGGACTTCCTGAGAGTAATGAATTACAGTAATCTAGTCTTGATGTAATAAATGCATGAACAATTTTTTCAGCATCACTCCTGGAAAGGATGCTTCTAATCGTAGCAATATTCCGAAGGTGGAAAAAGGAAATCCTACAAACCTGTTTTATGTGGGATTTGATTGACATGTCCTGGTCAAAGATAACACCACGGTTTTTAACTTTTTTTCAGGAGGCTAATTTAATGCCGTTCAGATCAGGTGATTGACTAAGCAGTTTCCCTTTCTGAAGTCCCGGTCCAAAGATGAGATGCTGGCTGCTATGCGTTCTTTGGCGGTTATACCGGCTGCCACTTGTGTTCTGAGGACTGAACTGCTTCAACTACGCCAGCAGCGTGACGAGCCATTCCGTGCTTTTGCCGCCAGGGCGCGTGGTAAAGCAGAACCTGCGCCTAGAACTCTCTGTAAGGATGCAGACTGTCTAAGACCGGATAGAGTAATATATTTCCGATAGCTTTATTTTGAGGTGAATTGCTACTGTGATGATGGACTCCAAAGTACGAAATAGGAAAGATCGCGTTCGGTTACAAAGAGCACAAGGTGGGCTGCAGCCAGTAACAGCTGCTCTCACTTCATTACTTTCTTTTTATTCTTTGCTTTTTCTTCTGTGTGTGATTTTAATGCCCTTCAGGTGGGCGCAGCTTATTCTAGCTCTCTTACTGCAGCTCATTCTCCACGGGAAACGTTGGTTCTGCCTCCAGAATTATGGAGAAATGAAGATGCAGCAGGGCGTAATCTCCAGGAGAGGAAAAAGTGTTGATTTATTTTTTACTGATTATGGAACTTTCTAGGAGGCCTCTGGGAAACTCCTGCAGGTTCGCGCATGAATTGATTGTTTACTGCAGGGATCAGCTATGGGCGCTGCTTACGCTGGCTTTCTCTCCATGGAAACCCAGTTGTGCCTCCAGAATTAAGGTCTGGAGAGGGAACGGAGATATAAACCATGTCTACCTTTTGTGATTATGGGAAACGGCTGCTCTCTTAGTTTTTTCGATTGCTAATACGCGTTTTTCAAAACTGTACGTTTCTTTCAAAACTGCACACACAAAACCCCAAACATAACACACACATTCTTAAACCGTGGCTTCCCTTTGCAACAAAACCCTGCCACCACATATCGTAACATGTTCCCAAAATTGAACACGTGTTTTCGTTTGGTAAACACAGCCACATTTTCACATGACACACACATACCATTCATTGCTTAAACACAAGCAGCCTTTGGGTGAACACTACCAAGCATGGAAAGAACACTGAAAAAAAACTGAAAACACGATTGACGAAAGGGAACACAATGAATTATACACTGAATGTATGACAGTGCCCACTTTTCCCTGAGACAAACATTAGACATCACACAAATTTTGAGACAAAACATTTTATTTTTAGTCCCCCCCCCCCCCCCCCCCACACACACACACACAATTTTTGAGACAAAACATTTTAATTTTACAGCTACCCCCCCCCCCCCACACACACACACACACACACACACATTTTGAGACAAAACATTTTATTTTTAGTTACCCCCCCCCCCCCCACACACACACACAAATTTTGAGACTAAACATTTTTTTACAGTTAACCCCCCCCCCCCCACACACACACACACACACACACAAATTTTGAGACAAAACATTTTATTTTTACAGTTACCCCCCCCCCCCCCACACACACACACACACACAAATTTTGAGACTAAACATTTTATTTTTACAGTTAACCCCCCCCCCCCACCCACCCACCCACACACACACACACATTTTGAGACAAAACATTTTATTTTTACAGCTACCCGGTTAACCCCCCCCAAGCATAATCATGGGGCATCATGCCGCCGGTCTCTGTCTGGCCAGAGGGCCTCATCAACATCACAAGCGATGTCCTCCTGGTCCAAACAGCGCTGGAAGTACCGCCTCGAGTGCCTCATGAAGCCCTGACAGGCCTCAAAGGCCACATCTCTACAAGCCTCCTCCATAGCTTGAAGCAGTGGGACCTGGCTCTGTGGATTCCTTTCGTACACCTTCCACCTCCAGGCTGAGAAAAACTCCTCAGTGGGATTGAGAAAGGGGGAATAAGGTGGAAGGTATAAAATGGAAAACCGTGGGTGGTCCTGAAACCACTCATACACCTGGGCAGCCTTGTGGAAACTTACTTTTATGCTGCAGTCCCTGATTCCAAATTGCCCGCCATACCCGAAAGTTTAGAGATTTGAATATTTGCGTGTTGTTGATTGAAGCTTTGAGAATTTATGTGAGAAGTGTGTGTAAACCTGAAAATTGTGTGTTGTGTTTTGACAGCAAGGTAATGTGAAATTGACATCAGAGTGTAAAGGAGGAAAATCAGAGTTTTAATATGATAAGGAAATCTTAAGTAGTGATAAAATGAGTCAAGCGATAGGGAACAGAAGTAGAGGTTGTGAAAATTGTGCCTCATTTTTGCTTTTTGAGTTTTAGCAATCGAAAAAAACTAATAAAATCGAGGGCAGTTACAGTACAAGGAATCCATCTGAAGTGTTCTCATTCTGGTTTTAAATGTACTCAAGGAGATGAGATCTGGCCCTGCAACCTGTCCATGGTGTGCCCCACCTGTTTTTCCCATAAGCAGCTGGAGATGGGCACCAGCCCTCCTGTGACCCTACAAGGACAAGTGGGTTCAGATAATGGATGGGTGGAGATAAGGTCAGTTCATTTGCTGTTTTCCTGCAGCCTCTTCCATGTTCCAGTTTGGTGCACAAATGCACCACAAAGTAACAGCTGATCATTTGCTCACAGAATGTGAGAAGTTACACTTCTTCGTGAGAATACATTACAGATGTAGTTGGAAAGTAATCCAAGTGTGGCCTTATAAATGAAAGTGTACCAATGTCCCAACCTCCTGGTGGACAAGGAATGCCACCCTACAGGTGAATACAATTCACATAGATGGGTCAGAGGTCTACAGTTAGGAATAAACCCCAAAGAGGCAAGATAAACCACATCAACCTTACCAAGACACTGTGCTGAGGCATTCATATATATATGTGGCAATACACGAGTGGTCCTTTAACCTACTAATGCCAAATATGGCAATTGTATCTCCTCAAGTACAATTATTACAGACAACGCCACCATGGGAATTTCACCCAAAGAAATAGTTAAATGGTAAGGCACTTAGATCCATTTCCACTTAAGTGAGACCGCAGACGTGGTTTCAGAAATCACATTCCTTTTATTAAACAGTAAAAATGTCAGTTAATAAAATCACTCTTTTGTTAGTGAAACAAGCAGTAAAATGTCAGTTAAATTGATATCCCCGTAATTAAATAAGTAGCCTATATGTATGAAACAACAAGATTTACGCTGTTATAATAATTTCAGTGTTTCTGCATAGCATGCCAGAAGTCATTGGCTAGTTGTTTTACCTGCATGTACAACCGATCTTTACAAGGTGTTGCAGCCCTTGCTTTGCAGTTAACCTGTAGTATAGCATGGCTTTATTACTTTTTTCAATTTGCCATATTATTGAACAACCGTCTCTGCTGTACACTGGGCCACCCTTGGGCCTACAGGATAAATTATTTAATGGAAATGAATGTCAGATCTTTAACGGTGCATAATACACATGTAATAAGGTTTTTGATATTCCAAAATGGGATATTTTACCAAACTTTTCTGAATTTTTTGGTTTTCTTATCATATTACAGATTCACGTTTTGTCTTTTCTGACGTTGCTTCATTGTTGGCATGCGCTGCCTCACAGTGTATCTTCTGTGAAAAGAAGGAACTTGGAAACACTTCATCTCCAAAGAAAACACCTAAAAGAAGCTATTTACTTTGTATGCGATAAACAAGGTATCGTGTCCGATATTTTGTCGTAATCCATTTCTTCATTGAACTTACTTACCAATGTACTGCTCTTTTTTCAGAGAAATTTGTGGTATCCTGTTACTGTAAGGAACGCACACAAACATTAAGGATTCACTATCATTGTCCTTTCTGCAAATCGGTGTACACACGATCAACATTTCTCATGAAGCACTTACAAGACAAACATGGTAGGTGCTTCCTCTGCAGTAACATGTATGTCTAAAAGAACATAATCAAGCTGCCTACAGTTGAAAAGCCACAATAAGCAACATTGTCTGTCAAATGCCAGATTATCTCGTGTTTGTGCCCTGTGCACTTACTTTTTAATGACATAATTAAACACAACTCTTTAAGGTATTAGTTATTTCTCAGATTTTTTTATTTTTATTTTGTCTCCTGCAGATACATCATCACATAAAAGTCATGGTAATTATTTCACCATTTGAGGATCCATACTTTTTTCCAGCTTTGCCTTACATTGTTGGTTGATTAAGTGATTTTTGAATGTGCTAATGAGAAATGTGTTTAGTAATTTTTGTTTATTTTTACAGCCAAGGTGAACACCTTAAAAAGAAAACTAAAAGACATCACAGGCGAGGAAAAAGACAGTTCGGATTCAAAACCAGAGAATTTCTGTTGTCCACATTGCACAGCTTTCCGTAGTTCCCACAAAAACCTGCAACGGCATATTAGGGATGTTCATTCATCCCTAATATGGATATTCATTCTGTGGCAAGGTGGATAAACGAGGGCCCGGGCGGGATTCGATCCCCAGACTCCCGGGTGAGAGTCATACGCTCTAACCAGTTAGCCAAAGGGACATCCCCTTGGCCAAGTAGCCAGGGCGCATGATCAATCGGGACACTGTGACAGAATGCTCACACTGTCACAATTCATTCCTCCATCCACCTCTCAGTCCCACCTTTCCGTCTGGTCACTATGGGGAGCAGGGCCTTCAGCCGCTCTGCTCCCCAGCTCTGGAACTCACTTCCTCCTGACCTCCGTAACATTGATTCCCTCACTCTCTTTAAAACCAGACTCAAAACCCACCTGTTCCGTCTAGCATTCCAATAATTACTCTCGTTGCTCCAATCTGTCTGTTTGTTTTATGCTGTTTTATCTTTTATAGTTGTGTATTTTATCTCTGTAAAGTGTCCTTTAGTGTTCAGAAAGGCGCTGTTGAAATAAAATGTATTATTCAATAGAAACAATGCCTATGATATGTGTGGACATAAGAAACGGATTGTATGTCACCCCAAAGCATGAGCACAGTCCACATTTCCCTGTACATGTTGCGAAGTCAACCAACCCACAAAAAATAAACTGCGAAGTTGAAAAGTGTTGCAAATGTATGCAAATAGCATGGTCTTCAGGAAATCCTGGAAAAGTGCGTTCATCTTGAACGAACTAAGCATGCTAAGAAATATGTTAAACCAGCAGAACTCACACCTGCTTCACTCAAAGTCATGCTTGAAAAAGGCTTGATGTCCACTGAGCGGGGTGATAGGTGTGAAAAACTGGATACAGCTGCAAAAACTGCAAAGTGGACAGTGTTTTCCCCGTGAATTTTGGAGGGAAAGGACATTCACAACGATGTTTTTTTCTTCACTTTTCACATATGAAACAGACAACTGGTGTCAGTTTAGACGGACAAGGGCCACCTTTGATGCTGTTGTAGGAAAGTGGAATTGTCAGTGTAAGGGAAGCAAAAAATCACATCGATGTATTCATCGAATGATGGCAATGTGGTGGATTTTCCAAGAGTCACCAGGCACTTTAATGCCCACCTCCGATGTGCAGGCAGAGGACGCTGAGGATTTGGAAAGTCACGTGATGGATGATGACATATGATGTACACCACGCAGTGTCACCACCCAAAAAATATGTGCCATGACGGACTATATTCATACCCAGAAGCGCATCCCACCCCTAAAAGAATTGTCATTAAACCTTCGAATTCAGGAAGAGACTCCATCCACAACCCTTGTTCCTTTGGAAACAAACCATCCCTACTGTCCAGGGCCGACTCCTCCAGAACTGGGGCTTCCAAAAGTGGTGACAACACAAGCCACTGTGTATGGCATTGACTACGTAAAAAAAGGTAAATGTGCAATTCTTTTCCTTATTTTAGTATGAAATGAATGAAAACATTGCTTTACCATTTAGTGTCATGTTATATTGTCGATTACAACATGTTTTTGTTCATGCAGGTTCTTTGTTCAACTAATATACAACATGAACTGATGAAAATGTTTTTGATCGGTAGGCGTCTCAGTTGCTGTAAAAGAATGCCCAGGATGCAGTAACATTGTGCGATTCCACGAGTATTCTTCTAGATTCCACAACTGCAACAACTCTGTGCTCCTCACTCTGCCGTCGTGTGAGCTTCTACTGTCAGGATTAGCGGTAGGGCAACTTCCAAAAGAGATAATTTTCAAACAAAAATCAAATCTCAACATGTCTGTGACACTTTTCAGTTTTAGACTCTTTGCACAAACAACTGAGCTGAAATGTATTTCTATGACATTGTTGGTGTGTTTTTTGACAGAACAAGACAACAAGTGGACGCATGCTGGACACCTTGAACTTTTTCAGCGACAATCGCTACCACCATCAAACTATAAGAAGAGCTTTTCATCACTTCCTGTCACTTACAGACTTTGGCTTTCAGTTTTCATGCTACCAGTATGGTTACCACCCACCTGTGTTAATAGCGGATGCCAACTGGAAATTGGCATTTGATATCCCATGTAATACATACATTTTTTAAGTTCTTCCTTTTTTTTTGTTCTTTTTATAATAGCAATTTGCATAAACTCCAGAATGTTGTATTTCTGTACATCACAGAAACAAAGATGTAAAAGCTGTTTGGCAGCAAACTGTGCAAAAACCAGGATTTGTGTCATAAAAACTTTTGGCCACGACTGTTCAACCTAAACAACACGTGCCATTAAGTAGCTCCACGTTTGTGGGCATTCTCTGTTATTCTTAAAGAAGGTGTCGGAGACGGGCAACTCAGTCAGACAGCGCGGGTCTCTTTATTCATTCATCTCACAGCTTAGGACAGCCAACTACAAAAGACCTCGACCAAATGTGGAGTCCTAAATTTATACTTTTTGTCCCTGGGCTACTCCCACAGTCCTTTGATAAAAGTGGAGAGAGGATGGGGTGATGTTTACACTTCTCAATATGGTCAACGCACCCTCCAGCCCAGAGGTCGACGAGCCCTGTTATCCCTATAGAGCTCCGGACCCCACGTGACTCTCAGTTAGTGGACGCCATTTTGGCATGCAAAAAAGGTAAACAAACACGGATGTAACCATGAACATGAACGGGATCCGCTTGGATTTTACTTCGTCGGAGTTTACTTCACACTTTAAAGAGCAAGTCACCTCCAAATCACATTTTTTTGCCGATAAACTATATAAAGGAGTGTCTAATCGTGCTGCAGACACGTGTCGTCAATAATTTGGCAGTTCAGTGCATCTTGGTTAAAATTAAAATATTCTACCTAAAACTGTCAGTGTTGCGCCGTCGTCAGGGAAAAATTCTGCACTGTATTTGAATTTAAATCTGCCACCGCTATTGGCTAAGAGGTATGCTATGATGTCATCTGGTACTTTATGATGTCATAATGCCATTGTGAGCCTGTGTGTATTTGTTAACAGCTCCGCCCTCTCGGTCTGCCAAGCAACAGCATTTGTTGCATTTTTCAAACATGAAGTGGAGTGAAGTAAGTTTCTTGTAGGGGGTGACTTGCTCTTTAAAACAGAAGAAATCGTTTTATATAGTCAGAAATTAAATAGACTAAACATCTCCGACCCTTAACGTGACCCTGGGATACTTTTTAAAAACGCCAGAAGCTGTCGGAGCGGGCTTCTTACCGGCACAACACCGGACCTGACCGGGGAACCCCTTGGGATTTACCCGGAGGAGCTGGCTCCGGCGGCTGGGGAGAGGGAAGTCACGCTACTGCCCCCGCAACCCGACTCCGGATACGCGGATGAAAATGGATGGATGGATGGACAAATAACAGATTTACACGTAAGTAGTCTCGGTGAGACAGATAATAGCAATCCAAAGTGCTTTTTATGTGTGATCTGACAATTGATCAACCATTGCTTAAAAATTAAATACAGCTTAGCCGGTTAATTGCTGTGATCATAAAGCACGTAAACGGCAGCACGCAGAACTCACGAGGCAACGTTTTACGTGATGTTTACTTGTTGCTATGAGTAATAAGACAGAAAAAGCTACGCCAAAATAAGTTTAGGAAGCCCACTAAGAATCATAATAAAAGCATTTAAAATAAATACCAACACAGTTGAGGAAACGTTGGTTTAAGTACCTGATATGAAGCGGTCGCTGCATAAGCGAAAACCTTTACTCTCGGGATCCCACAGCTTCATTTTCGCCCGGTCACTAGGGCGTTTTATTATAATGATCCAACGTTTGCGGCACTCCGGATCTTAAGGAATCCTGTAGATGACTCATTCCTTATGTCGTCCGCGTCTGTTCTGCATCCTGGGGCACAACAGGAATCTACCATATTTCCCGTTTGATTGAGTTTTCTGACAATAACAAATAGTCCTGCTGCTGGCTTCTGCATGCCAATATGGCGCCGTTTCGATTTGAACTGTTGCATGCCGGGAGAAGTGACGTCAACTCCCGGAGCTCTATATGATCCGAGGGCTCAAGGTTTACTGGAGCTGGTTTACACAAGTTGGACTGAAACACAGAACACAGCTTTTGGCTCCTACAGTCTCAGTAAGCTTTTAACCTAAGGACTCATAATTCAACTCAATATATGTTGTAGATGACCTCTTGACCTTTTTGGCGACAACACGTTTTTCCAAAATATGTTCGTTACAAGTTTTAAATCGTAAAATATTTGAAGGATTAATTTTTGTGAAAAACTTCTGAATACTTTAATTTCTGTTTTTTCTAGTGGGGACCTTTAAAAGACCTGATCCTGACTGTGCTTCAGACAAACACCTAGAGGTTGACATTGTTAAGGCATGGAATGATCTGGACAAGTCATTTATAGCAGAGGGCCTCTTATCAGGTATGTATGAATTTGAAGTCTGTAACGTTATGGATACAAATACAAATTAAATAAGGAACATAATTCAAGTACAAGAAAGACCATTTAAAGTTTTAAGTTAGGTTTCTCTATTTGATGGCCTACAATTTTTTGTTGAAGGAACAACTTTGGGCAACCCATACAGTACATCAACTCACCACTCAACTTTGGCGCCCTGGATGGGGGAACACACCAGAGTGGGAACCATCCTTCCTAAAACAGAGTGCAAAAAAGCGTTAACAAAGACTACAGAACATAGAACTCAACCCATAAAGGAAATAAATGAGGACATCATACTGCAAATCTTGGACTCCAAAAAGGTTAATTGATATAATTATTGCTTTATGCACTTTCAATATCTTCAGACAATCTTTTGTCCATATTTAAATATGTAAATTCTCTGTTTCCAGTGTCCTAAAAAGGATCTCCAGGATGCTTGTCTTGCTCTGGGTGTCTCCTCTGAAGGGTCCATAGCAGATTTGACAAACAGACTTCAGGAGCTGTTGAATTTCAAAGATGTTTACTCAAAGCTTTTCGTAAAACTACAAAAAGCTGGTGGTGAGTTAACTTTTGAAATAATATTCATTTGTTGGCGTTGTTATGGAAGTTTTTCCCATAACAACACAATATATTAAATGTTTCCATCACGTGCGTTAACACAATTTACATGTTTTTGGTTGAAACTGCAGATGGTGTTCTCCATTTCTCATGTATGCATGGAGTTGTCTATCATGTCAACTTCCTCTTCTGGATGGAGTCTGCAAGAGACCACTGTGACGGACTGCTCAGTTTCAAAAGATTCCCGACATGTTACATATCTGATGTAGCTGGACAGGTCGCACGTCACACTAACAACCGCACAAATCAACTATTTTTCAAGCTGCATGATGGGAGACTCTGTTCACCTACCCAGGACAATACAAATAAAGCAAAGACAAAAGAACTACAAGCTGAAATGGATCGGGTAAAACAACTGAGATGTCCTTTGCCACAACAACCAGAGGCAAATGCGGAAAGAATGTCAGCTAAACATCCAGTCACAGGAACGTCTGAAAGGTTTTCTCTGTATGACAGGTTTCATCAAAAAAATCAAAAACGTCAAGAAGATAAGCTGAGAAGCCTCAACATTTGCTCTACCCTCAGAAAAGAAATTAACTCTGCTGTAGCAGAACAGTTTGATCGTGAACTTGCCTCTGCGAGGTATTCATTGTGCCAAATGACTGAAACACATTTCAAGCAGACTCTCAGGGTCTTGATAGAATTGCACAATAACATAAACACCCAGCTCAAATCAGAAATGGAGACCCTGTGTAATGCCCCACTGTCTTTGGGATTGAGTGGCATGTTGGGACTGCAGCCTGCTGGTAATTTGATCAACATGTGAAAGTAAATGATATTTATAAGGATTATTTGAAATGATGGAGGAATAATAACAGTTGTGTAATTTTTCAGTTGTTGGTTTTTATAACCTTGGTTACAACAAAGCAATAGAACACAATACTGAGTTGTCAACTAGGGCTGCAACAAACGATTATTTGGATAATCGATTAATCGGATGGGGTCTCGACACGATTAATCGATTAATCGGATTACATGGGGAAATTTGTAAAAACTGCTAGGGAAATGTTATTTCTCTCCTTCCTTCACTTTATTTAACACAACATTATTAGAAAACAGTTCAATAGCAGAAAAACAACATGCCATCACCTAAATTGTCTTATAAGGTGTATAGACAGAGACCCTAAGCTACATCTATCTGTGACCTAAAATGCTTGGTCCAAGTTAAACAGCTTAAGGGCAATTCTCATCTGTTTTGTTTGATCTCATCTGTAGGCATTTATTATAACGGGGGATGTCAAACAACTAATTTTTAAATGTAATTAAACATAGGCTGTGAATTAATCAAAATTGATCACTATTTCCAAAAATGACTGAAAAAATAAGTTGTCACACACTCCATGGAAACTTTCAGAGAATCCACAAATAGTGGCTTTCAAATGGTTTTGTTACTTTTTGCAAGTTTAGAAAAGCAGCAGATGAGACAGCATGTCTGATAATTTAGTTTTTCATCTGATAATAATAGAACATGTCAGTAATGTCTGAGGGGCTTTTATAAACACTGTATAACTAATACTCCTGGAGAGGGTATGAATTACACAGAGGCTTCTGGGGAGCCCAGTTATCGGGGGGGGTGGGGGGGTGGGGGGGGGCATTTTGCCTTGGCCCCCAAAATGTCTTGAAACGGCCCTGGGTGTGGGACTGACTTTTGAAGGTGATCTGAATAGTATCAAATTTATAAATATTACATGTGTGTAACTTATTGTTTTATAGGTAAAAACGTGTAGTGGAGGTAAATCTACCTACATTTTACTTTTCAACACTTTGTTTTGTTTTCTTGTTTTTATTTAAATATTTTCCTGTCCTGTCTGTCTCTCACCTTCCTGCATCTCCTCTTAATTCTCCAGAAAAACTGCTGCCTGGATTCTTACTTTTTCACCTCATCAGTTACTTCTGAGCAGATAAAGGGATCTCCTGACTGCAAAGCGCAGAGCGCGTTTTCGATGCTGCGTGAGGTGACATCACCGCAGCACAGGTGATGAGCTCCGCAGTAGCAGAGCGCTGCAGGCACAAATAAGACAGAAAATAGACAACATGTGCGGACATGAACTATCGTGTGCTTATTATAGTTTTTTGGTTGCGCCACTTTGAGAATGGACAGTGCGCCGGAAGCAGCTGCCTGGATCGCTGCGCGACAATGCGCTGTGCTGCTCTCTGCTCAAAAGAGTCCAAAAAATGATATACAGGTGCTGGCCAGTAAATTAGAATATCATCAAAAGGTTGAAAATATTTCAGTAATTCCATTCAAAACGTGAAACTTGTACATTATATTCATGCAATGCACACAGACCAATGTATTTCCAATGTTCATTACATTTAAATTTGATATTCATAAGTGACAACTAATGAAAACTCCAAATTTGGTATCTCAAAAAATTAGAATATTCTGAAAAGGCTGAATATAGAAGACACCTGCTGCCACTCTAATCAGCTGATTTACTCAAAACACCTGCAAAGGCCTTTAAAAGGTCCCTCAGTCTTGTTTTGAAGGCACCACAATCACGGGGAAGACTTCTGACTTAACAGCTGTCCAAAAGACAATCATTGACACCTTGCACAAGGAGGGCAAGACACAAAAGGTGATTGCTAAAGAAGCTGGCTGTTCGCAGAGCTCTGTGTCCAAGCACATTAACAGACAGGCGAAGGGACGGAAAAAATGTGGTAGAAAAAAGTGTACAAGCTCTAGGGATAACCGCACCCTGCAGAGAATTGTGACGACAAACCCATTCAAAAATGTGGGGGAGATCCACAAAGAGTGGACTGCAGCTGGAGTCAGTGCTTCAAGAACCACCACGAGGAGACTCATGAAAGACATGGGATTCAGGTGTCGCATTCCGTGTGTCAAGCCACTCTTGAACAAGAAACAGCGCAAGAAGCGTCTCGCCTGGGCCAAGGACAAAAAGGACTGGACTGATGCTGAGTGGTCCAAAGTTATGTTTTCTGATGAAAGCAAGTTCTGCATTTCCTTTGGAAATCAAGGACCCAGAGTCTGGAGGAAGAGCGGAGAAGCACAGAATCCACGTTGCATGAGGTCCAGTGTAAAGTTTCCACCGTCAGTGATGGTGTGGGGTGCCATGTCATCTGCCGGTGTTGGCCCACTCTGTTTCCTGAGGTCCAGGGTCAATGCAGCCGTCTACCAGGAAGTTTTAGAGCACTTCATGCTTCCTGCTGCTGACCAACTTTATGGGGATGCAGACTTCACCTTTCAACAGGACTTGGCACCTGCACACAGTGCCAAAACCACCAGCACCTGGTTCATGGACCATGGTATCCCTGTCCTTGATTGGCCAGCAAACTCGCCTGACCTTAACCCCATAGAAAATCTATGGGGTATTGTGAAGCGGAGGATGCAATACGCTAGACCCAACAATGCAGAGGAGCTGAAGACGACTATCAGAGCAACCTGGGCTCTCATAACACCTGAGCAGTGCCACAGACTGATCGAGTCCATGCCACGCCGCATTACTGTAGTTATTGAGGCAAAAGGAGCCCCGACTAAGTATTGAGTGCTATACATGCACATTCTTTTCATGTTCATTCTTTTCAGTTGGCCAACATTAGAGAAACAAACATTTTTTCATTGGCCTTTAGAATATTCTAATTGTCTGAGATACCAGATTTGATGTTTTCATTGGTTGTCACCTATAAATATCAAAATTAAACGTAATAAACATCGGAAATACATTGGTCTGTGTGCATTGCATGAATATAATGTACAAGTTTCACGTTTTGAATGGAATTACTGAAATATTTTCAACCTTTTGATGATATTCTAATTTACTGGCCAGCACCTGTAATATAGAAAACTTTTTTCCGGTTCCCCTGGATGTGTAGGATATCCAGCTCCCCCATAATTCGATCCCTGCCCCTGGATGAAAAGCCGGACATTTTCATCAATACAAGAACCCGCAGTCCGGTCCGGACGCGCCGGACAGAGAGTGAAAAGTGGACACGTCCGGGGAAAACGGAACGTACGGTCACCATAGTCCTCATAAAGCGGGAAATTATAGATACAGTATTTTGCTCGTGCCCTGGGCCCTTTAGAGTTCGTGGGCCCTGGGCAATTGCCCAGTTAATCCGGCCTTGGGCGGAACCGGTTCGCAGCAGCGCGAGTCCCCCCGCTCATCTAATAAGCGTCGCGCTCACGACTTTAGACTCTTTTTTTACGAGTTTAGGGCATGTCTAGCCTGTGTAATAATCCGGGACTTGGATGAATCACTTTTGAAAAGTTTTTAATTTACCCGGACACAGAGTTCTCTCCTTCCTCGCTGATGATCCCGACATGCTTGCATTTAAGACGCTGCATCATCCCGTGCCATGCTAAGTCTGACCTAAACGTTGCAGGTAACGAATGTCTTCGCCTGATTTAACTGAAAATGCTCCCAAACTTTAAAAGTTTTTACTTTTTTGACTCTCGCTGCTTCTGCCATGTTCCTCTTCCAAACAACTGCCGGCTCTCCCTCGCGCTGATCTGCCGGCTCTCCCTCGCGCTGATCTGTCTGCGCGCAATGGCGGGCGGGAAGGGGGGGCGCTTTTGGAAGAGTTGTGCGACACAACGAATCGATGACGCAGTTCGTTGCCAACGCTTTTAGTAATCGATTTTCATCGAATTTATCGATTCGTTGTTGCAGCCCTATTGTCAACACAGTGCTATTAATGAAAATATGATTTTGAAATCATTCTAAGTTCTACAACTTTTCTGTTTCAGGCATGGAAACGCACCCATCCAATATGGAGAGCTCTGCCTGCATCAAAAAGGATACAAATGTGACATCCTCTTTTGTTGCCCAGAGATATATTGTGGATGACAACAACAACAAGGTAAATTTAAAAAATATAAATGATTTTTCTACCTATTTGGTTTACGCACAGCCTTCAGACCTGCGGAGAAAAAAACCTACAAGATGCAGAAAAAAAGGATAAACCTCCAACCTTAATATTGTTAGCAATAAATGCAGCAAAACTTAACTTTCATGACCCAAAAAAAAAACATAAAAATGTTTCAATCAATCAGGAGAGCAGGAACAAATCTTTTTTCTGATTTTATATATTTTTTTCAATTCAAACTATTTACAATTGTCTATTTTCATCACATTTAGCTTGTATTTCAAGTGGAAGTATCATCAGCTTTACACGTTAGCTGTTCCTGTGTGCTTACTAACCTTCTAAGAAAATTGCCAAATAATTCACATGAAGTAGATTTGTTATTCATTATCTGAATTTATCTGATTAGTTTGAAAAACTAAATGTTTTGTTCAATTAGGTTTTCAGAATATCACTAGTTTACTTGTACTTTTAAAAATATATGCTGATGTACTGAAATACAGAGAAATCAACTTGTGAATACAATGCATGTTAATAGAGTAAGTATAGCATTTTCAACATAAGCACATTCACACATGGAAAGTATCAATGTAAATAAATCGTATGGCTGTAACTCTGCTGTACTTTCATTGTGTAGAAGTAGCTCACGGGCCAATAAAGGTTGGAGAACCCTGCAATAAATCGTTCAGCCTTAGTGGATGCTTAAAAGATTATTTAAAGTTTTCTTTCGACTAAATCTTCATTTACAGAGCTCTCAAGCAAAAGGCTTCTGTCCTTTGTGGACTCTTATGTGACCGTTGAAATTTGTCTTTCGGGTAAATCTTTTTCCACAGAACTCACAGGCGAAAGGCTTCTGTCCTGTGTGGACACTCATGTGTCTGTTCAAAGTTGACATTCGGCTAAATCTCTTTGCACAGAACTCACAAACAAAAGGCTTCTGTCCTGTGTGGACACTCATGTGTATGTTTAAAGTTGACATTCGGCTAAATCTCTTTTCACAGAGATCACAAGCAAAAGGCTTCTGACCTGTGTGGACTCTCATGTGACTTTTTAAAGTTGACATTCGGCTAAATCTCTTTTCACAGAACTCACAAGCAAAAGGCTTGTGTCCTGTGTGGTCACTCATGTGACGGTTTAAATTACTCTTTTTGCTAAATCTTTTTCCACAGAGCTCACAAGCAAAAGGCTTCTGTCCTGTGTGGACACTCATGTGACTATTTAAAGTTGACTTTAGGCTAAATCTTTTTCCACAGAGGTCACACGCAAAATGATTCTTTCCTGTGTGGACTCTCATGTGAATATTTAGAGTTGACTTTAGGCTAAATCTTTTTCCACATTGCTCACAAGCAAAAGGCTTCTGTCCTGTGTGGACACTCATGTGACGGTTGAAATAACTCTTTTCGCTAAATCTTTTTCCACAGACCTCACAAGCAAAAGGCTTCTGTCCTGTGTGCACACTCATGTGACTTTTTAAAGTTGACATTCGGCTAAATCTCTTTTCACAGAACTCACAAGCAAAAGGCTTCTGCCCTGTGTGGACCCTCATGTGACGTTTTAAAGTTGACTTTACGCTAAATCTCTTTTCACAGAGCTTACAAGCAAAAGGCTTCTGTCCTGTGTGGACACTCATGTGTCTATTTAAATGGGTCTTTTGGCTGAATCTCTTTTCACAGAGCTCACAAGCAAAAGGCTTCTGTCTTGTGTGGACTCTCATGTGACTGTTTAAAGTAGACTTTTGGCTAAATCTTTTTCCACAGAGGTCACACGGAAAAGGCTTTAGTCCTGTGTGGACTCTCATGTGAATGTTTAGAGTTGACTTTCCGCTAAATCTTTTTCCACAGAGCTCACAGGGAAAATGATTCTGTCCTGTGTGGACTCTCATGTGACTGTTTAAAATAGTCTTTTGGCGAAATCTTTGTCCACAGTGCTCACAGGCAAAATGTTTCTGTTTTGTGTGGACTCCTGTGTGTTTGTTTAAAAGTGTCCCATTGCTATAGGATTGAAACCTGGCAGCATCAGTCTCTTTATTCAAATGGAGATGCTCTCCCTCCATACTAGACCAGAGTTTCTCCTGTTCCTCCTTTTTGTGGAGAAAATCTAGGTGCTGGTGGTTGACATGAGCACTCTGTTCTTCTGAAGCTTCTTATTTAACCAGAACCACCTGTTGAAAATCTGTAGGAAACACAGAAACATTTTGTGAATTACAGACAGCTGTAACTTTGTTTTACACATATGACATTTGTATTATTTCTTTAAACTGACAGTAGAATGAAATGTATTTACAATTGTAAACTGAACTTTGAGCCTTTAAAAGTCATATGAGCCTTAATTGTCTCATGAGCCCTGACAAACGCTAAATAAAAGACGGATATTCACGCCTCTTATATAAAGATCTATTGTTCCCACTCGACTAGGACATTAAATTCACTGAGCTGCATGCTGACTAGACTGTTTACCCCTTATGGCCTGGGAATAGTGTGTGTGTGTGTGTGTGTGTGTGTGTGTGTGTGTGTGTGTGTGTGTGTGTGTGTGTGTGTGTGTGTGTGTGTGTGTGTGTACTGGCATATCTTATGTATGCTGCGAGGACACATTTTTGTCTTTTCACCTCTAACATGGGGACATGTTAAAATTGTGAGGACATTTGACAGATTATCACAGTAAAAAAACATCTACTTTAGTTTTAGAAGCATGGGGTGAATTAACTTTTAGTTGAGGTTAGGGTTAGGAATACAACAACATTAGTTCCTTAAATGAAATGGTAATCAGGAGAACTGGGAAACTTCCCGGTGGCCTGCCATTAATCTGGCCCACTCAGTGATCGTCATTCATGACATGCTTGATATCTAAATGAACAATTCGTCATGTGGCTAATCGGGCCTGTATTGGCGCATTCACATCAGGGGCAGCACAGACCGGACTGCGTCGCGTCGGTCCGGGTCCCGCACCAGTAGGTTTTGTTTACACACACTTCTTAGGAACGGAGAAATCTCCAAGCTAGCGGGCGGAGCTAAAGACCTGCAAAATACAGACATGAAAACGGGTCAAGGGTGAAAAAGGTTAGACTCCACATTGAAAAAAGTAGCCGCACACACACACACACACACACACACACGAAAATCCCGCGCATGCCTGTTTGCGCACCTCAGGTCTCCGCACCGGAGCGGAGCAGTTGTAGAGCGGGTACAGTATAATTTGAGTTCGGAAGCGAGCGGCAGCGGGGGCGGAGATAGTGGAATTTTGGGGTAACTCGGCGTTATGGTGTGTGACGTACGCTACTCAGCGCTGATTGGCTGGGTTAGAATTCTCAGCGGGTGGGGTTATTTGCAGTGTTGGGCAAGTTACTTCAAAACTGTAATGCATTATTTATTACTTGTTACACTAATTTTAAAAGGACTTTATGGAGTTTTGAATTTTTATGCTCGCGATTGCCCCCTCAGGCCAAAAGCGTAACGGCAGCTTCAATAGTAGGCTCGTGCACGAGGCGCGCATGCTGTACGTGCACACTCCTTAATGAAAATAACAGCTGAGACAGTCCCTTGTGTGTGTGTGTGTGGTCCGGAGGACAGAGGACAGGAGAACACTTAGCTAATTAATTGAATAATTTGGTTCTGTACCTTTCTCTTCAGCGCAGCCGACAAAGGTTTATGATGGGTCAGTCCTCCTGCATGCTCAGTTCATTCCCTTCCCTTGCTTGAAAAATTGTTCCAAAATGAAAGTTGAACCCACATCTTTTTATCTATGAATTCAATGCCATTCGGCGAGTCTCAAATAAAAATTTTGGCATCTTACTGTAAAAAAATATACCATTAATGTAAAAAAAATTTCTAAAAAAATATGTTCACATCCAGAATCGAACCCGGATCTTCTGCACAAAAGTCCGACGTCTTACTTGGTGAGCTACAGCACCACTAAGGTCCTTTGTATCCGTAACATTTATATCCTTGATGACACCTGAAACAAAGTTCAAAGAACTGTTTGGAGGACTATGCCTGAGTGTGAACGCGCATGAAGCAGCCTGCTCGACCCGAGCAGCTCTCTTTTTCTGTGATTTTACAGAAAAACAGGCAATCACAGTAAAAATGCCAGGGCTCATTCTACAGGACCAGGGCATTGCAGGAGAATGTATGAAGAAGACATTTATTATTTCTATACATGTTTTGGCTGTCAAACTTCCATAATGCCCCTTTAAAGTAATTCATTACATTACAATATTACTGATTTTCAAATGTAAGGCATTATACTACTTTTGCATTACTTTAAGTTACTTTCACCAAAACAACTTCAATATGAATCTAGTAATATGACGCTCAGTGAGCTAATGACATATATGTGGAAAGTGATGTGGTATCTGAGCTCGGATTGCTGTTAAAAACAGTCAGATATAATAACAGTCAGTGTTTCCTTTACATAGGCGTAGCCGTGGCGGCCCCCCACGGCTGAAATCCCAGCGCCACGCCTACAAGATCCCGTTTTATAGATTAAAAAAAAAAATTTTAAATGCTGTTTCCCGAAGAAACAGCGGGAACTACTCTGTTGTCGCTTATGATCACAGCCGGCAGGCAGCAAGGAGGAGGAGGCAAGGCAGGGTGGTTACAGCTAGGGATGTGCCGGATACTCATTTCAGACGAGTATCCGGTACGGATTAAGCAATTTTGACGAATACGAGCATGAAACGAGTAAAACTCGTAAATATCTGTAATCGTGCTGAAGAAAAATCCTCATTGGGTAACTGCCTGTCTTCCAGCTCTGTGATTGGCCAGTCACATAGAGCACCCGCCCCTCTCTACACACAAAACTCTGCAGCAGTATCTTGGGAAGACCATTTCGAAGAGGCCAACGAGCGAAAGAGGAAGCTCAGTTCAGCCCACACACACACACACACACACACACAGACAGTAACGGATCTCAGCGCTTGCTTCACTGTTGCTCACGTTTCTTCAGTGCTCCCTAGGTTTTCTTCAGCTCGCCTCTTTTTCAGTTTAATGTTTAAAGTCACTTTTTTCGTAACGCACGTGGTGCATTTGACAAGACCGAGCTGAAAACGGCTCGTGCTGAGTCGGTCACTGCCTCCGCTCCGGTTTTTAAAATTTATTTTAACTCTCTCCTTCTCTCTCTCTCTCTCAGACACACACACACACACACACACACACACACACACACACACACACACACACACACAGGCACCTCAGTCAATATTGTTTTGTTTAACTGTGTGTGGGAAAAATGCCAACAATGTTAGGAAAAAATCAGTTTAATCAAATTAAAATGAAATGGTTCTAGTATTTCATAATTCCTAGTTCCTGCTGCATGAGTTCAGATGTATTAATTCATGCACTTAAATATTAATGTTCTGATTTTTATGAAAAACTGGTTCTGTAATAGTGCCAACTCACCAGCTGAGGCTGCACCTGGCGGTAAGGCGTTTCCTGTTTCCTGTTTTCAGTGTTGCACTACGTGTAGCTGTTTGGTGTTTGGGGCTAGCTAAAGCTGATTTAATTTCTCTGTACTATAGGGCTGTAGCGAAGCCTCGACGAAGTCGACGGCTCGATTCTAAAAATTTGTCGACGTCAGATCCGGAAGTCGACGCACCGCGCCCACTTGTTGCATCCCCAGGAGTTTGTGAATAGAGGAGGAATCTGCCTGTTTTTCCTCTAGTTCGCCCTCTTCTCCGCCTTCACTAACATCTCCGCCAAATACCGAAGACCCGGAACAACGTCCGTCCACTACTAGATTATTTTCCTGTTTTGCCCCTTCGTCTCCCGGCAACGGACAACAACTTCCGGGGTCAGATGCGCTGCTTCGTGTCTATCGCAGATGTAGAAAATCACCGGGAGCGCTTCTCCCTTCATTAAGGAGCTTCTTTCAGACATGAGGAGAGCTGTTTTGGTGGTAGCAGTCTCTCCTCCATGCTGGTCTGTTTGCTGCTGGGTGTTTTTGGTTTATTTAAACTTGGTAACTTGAACTTAATGTTGGTAAAGCTACTGTTAGCATCTTCGCTAACAGCTTCTTGCGTTGGGATAAGCTGTTACGTTTTGGTTTAGAGTTCATCTTTTTTGTGGTGTAGATCTCCCTTTTATTACATTTAGAGTGTTGTGGGTTTTCGGTTTAGTGTAAAATATCACCTGAGTTTGGTTTAACCCGTAAGACCACTCGCCTCACGCACATAAGTGACCAAAACAAAGCAGCATGGAGACACTCCATCTTCTACCACCTCTCAGGCAGCAGCCTGCACTCCCAAGTTCTACATGTCACCAGAACATAACCAACTGCAACACAATAAAAGCATGGAAGGCCTGTAGTGTTTATTCTCTTACAGTAAGAATTTATCAATTTTTTTGAGGAATTTATTTGAGATTTTCTGGTTTTTGTTAATTGTGCAATAGAAAAATAATCATTAGATTAATTTTCTAAATAGTCATTAGAATAGTCGACTATTCGATAAAATAATCGTCAGAATAATCGTTTACCCCCAGCCCTACTGTACTAGGATATCTCTGTTATTGTAGCACTAAAGCACGCTAAAACACACATTTTCTGCTGTTCCACCTAGCTTTTAGGGAACCATTTGAGTTTGCACGCAGTTTATTTGGTACTGAACAGTTAGCTCGTCCAGTTAGCTTAGCCTCAGCACGGCTATGGCTACTTCTGTCTCTGCTTCTCCGTCTCCTATCTCTTGCTCTCTGTGTCAGATGTTTAGTTACTCCTCTGCCTCCTTTAGTGATAATGGTACGTGTGATAAATGTAGCATTTTTGTAGCTTTGGAGGCGAGGGTGTCGGAATTGGAGTCCCGGCTCCACGCTGTTGAAAACACCGTAAACAGCCATAGCTACTTAGCTAGCGCGGGGCTAACTAGCTCAGAGCCACCCCGTAGCGGTCCTCCAGCAGAAGAACCCGAGCAGCCGGGACTTCAGGCCGGCTGGGTGACGGTATGCAGGAATCATAGAACCCAGCCCGTGGGCCACCACCAACCCGTCCACGTTTCTAATAGATTTTCCCCGCTCAGTGACGCACCCACTGACAAGCCGACTCTGATCATTGGCAGCTCCATAGTCAGAAACGTGGCATTAGAGACTCCAGCAACCATAGTTAAATGTTTACCTGGGGCCAGAGCGGGCGACATTAAATCTTATCTGAAACTGCTGGCTAAGGATAAGCGTAAATACAGTAAGATTGTTATTCACGCTAGCGGTAACGACACCCGATTACGCCAATCGGAGGTCACTAAAATTAATGTTGCTTCGGTGTGTAAGTTTGCCAAAACAATGTCGGACTCCGTAATTTTCTCTGCCCCCCTGCCTGATCGGACCAGTGACGACATGTTTAGCTGCATGCTGTCCTTCAACCGCTGGTTGTCTAGGTGGTGTCCTGAAAACAACGTGGGCTACATTGATAATTGGAAAACTTTTTGGGGAAAACCTGGTCTGATGCGGAGAGACGGCATCCATCCCTCTTTGGATGGAGCAGCTCTTCTTTCTAGGAATATGGCCAGTTTTATTAGTCCTCCATGACAACCCAGGGTCCAGACCAGGAAGCAGAGTCGTAGTTTAACCCACCCCTCTGCAACTTCTGTACTGTTACCCACCCACTACCCCATAGAGACAGTGTCCTGCCCACGGCCAAAATCACACAGATTAAATATCAGGCTTAATAAAGCAAATCATGGAAATCTCATAAATATTAGAACAAATTCAACTGAGCAGAAAACTAGAAAAATTAAATGTGGGTTGTTGAACATTAGATCCATTTTTTCTAAGACTTTGTTAGTTAATGACTTGATTTGCGATAATCAGATCTCTTTGCTCTCTCTCACAGAATCCTGGCTGCAGCAAGAGGACTATGTTAGCTTAAATGAGTCGACTCCTTCAAATTATTTAAATCATCATATTGCTCGAAGTACAGGGCGAGGAGGAGGAGTGGCAACCATTTTTCATTCGGACTTATTAATCAGTCCCTTACCAATTAATAGCTACAGTTCGTTTGAACACCTTATTCTTAGTTTTCCTAATCCAGATTGCAAAGCTGTAAAACCACTCTTGTTCATAGTTTTATATCGTCCACCAGGCCCTCACTCTGAGTTTTTGGATCAGATCTCTGATTTTTTATCTGATTTGGTGCTAAATACTGATAAGGTCATTGTAGTGGGGGATTTTAATATTCATGTGGACATTAAAAATGATTGCCTCAATGTAGCCTTTAGTAATATCTTAGATTCAATTGGTTTTACTCAAAGAATACATAGCTCCACCCACTCCTGCCATCATACATTGGACCTTGTGCTGACTTATGGCATTGAGTGTGAGGAAATAACAATCTTTCCACATAATCCAGTCCTCTCAGACCACTTTCTGATAACCTTTGAGTTTTTTATAACTGAGTTCTCGAGACATGAAAGTAAATTTCACTACAGTCGGTCTCTATCTGACAACGCAGTTGCGTCTTTTAAATCAACTGTTCCATCTTTACTGTCCTCAGCATCTCAGAGGAACGTAACAGAGGGCATCATTTTCAGTTCTAACCCCTCACAAATTGATGCCTTAGTTCATCATGTTAATTCCTTTTTACGTGTGGCATTAGATGATGTAGCCCCTTTAAAAAAGAAAGTAATTAGGGACAGGAAGTTGGCTCCCTGGTTTAATTCTCATTTACGAGCCTTAAAACAAAACTCTAGGAAATTGGAGAGAACATGGCGCTCTACGCACCATGAGGAGGCCTACCTATCCTGGAAAAATAGTCTTGTGCTTTATAAAAATAAGCTTCGACAAACTAGAACTGCTTATTTTTCAGCATTAATTGAGGAGAATAAGCAAAATCCTAAATTTCTTTTCAGTACAGTTGCTAAACTTACACAGAATCATAGCTCTGAGCCATCTATTCCCTTAGCCCTCAGCAGCAATGACTTCATGGGATTTTTACAAGTAAAATTAATTCTATTAGAAACAAAATCTTTAGCATCCTCCCTAATGCGATTTCTTCTTCCTCAGTAAGTGAGGCAGCATCTGAGGTAACTGTAGAACCTCATCTGTGCTTGAACCGTTTTGATCCAGTTGAGCTTTCAGAGTTATCAAAAATATTAGCTTCATCTAAACCTTCAACTTGCATTTTGGATCCAATCCCAACCAAATTATTTAAAGATGCATTTCCTTTGGTTACTGCCCCCATTCTAGATATAATCAATCTATCCTTAGTAAATGGGTATGTACCACAAGATTTCAAGGTTGCTGTAATCAAACCTTCACTTAAGAAGCCTTCTCTGTATCCAGATGACCCAATGAATTATAGACCAATATCTAACCTTCCATTTTTATCCAAAGTCCTGGAGAAAATAGTGACCATCCAAGTATGTCAGCATTTAAACACCAAAGCCCCATTCCCACCTGTACCGGGTCGGCCCGGGCCGGGTAGCCCCAGTCGGCCCCAGCCTGGCCCGGTTGATTCCACACATCCTTGCCTTAAGCCCATGTGGGCTGATTCTACCCACCAATCAGAGGCTTGCTCTAATGGAAGGTGTGAATTTGCTGTCAGCAGTGGGCGTGTTGGCCCTGGTCGGCCTGAAGCAGTACCCCTCGGGAAGAGGGCCGAGAATGAGCCTTGGTTGGCCCGGGAAAATTCCAGGCCACCCAGATATGTAAACAACCTACGCTACCCGGCCCGGGCCGACCCGGTACAGGTGGGAATGGGGCTCAATGCTCTGTTTGAGGAATTTCAGTCTGGTTTTAGAGAGTATCAAAGCACTGAAACTGCGTTAGTGAGAGTTACAAATGATATTCTCATGGCCTCAGATAAGAATCTTGTGTCTGTTCTAGTCTTGTTAGATCTCAGTGCTGCCTTTGACACAGTTGAGCACAATGTTCTTTTAGAAAGACTTGAACATGTTGTAGGGATCAAAGGAACAGTGCTAGGCTGGTTTAAATCCTACCTGTCTGACAGATTTCATTTTGTAAACGTACATGACAAATCTTCTTCATACTCCAGGGTTACTTGCGGAGTACCACAGGGTTCAGTGCTTGGACCAATTCTTTTTACTATATATATGCTCCCAATTGGTAAAATCATTAGACAGCATGGGATAAACTTCCACTCCAACATGACTCCAACATGCCTACATCTAAATAGGATAGATTATCCAGAGTTATCTCTGTAGTTATGCTGCTATAGGCTTAGACTGCTGGAGGACACACTGACCACTTTTCACACTCTACTGCTTTATTCTACAGTCTGCACTTTAACTGTACTATTTTGTGCAATTTCAGCTGTCAACTTTATTTTCTCTGTAAGTGTTTCTCTCCCCAGAAGAAGCTACAACGACGTTCTGCTGAGCTGTGGTGGCCTCATGGAGGGGGCCATCGACTAGCACACTGCTGCTAACCACTAAAACATTCTCCCTCTCCTGATAATAACTTTTTTCTTTCCTTGACGTTGGATGTGCTACTACTAGTTTATCCGTTTAATTATAGATTCACTAGGATAAATACAATAAAGTTTATTTTCACCAAATAGAATATTTACTAAGACATCACAATATAACTATAGACACATTACTTGGTGTGTGTGTGTGTGTGTGTGTGTGTGTGTGTGTGTGTGTGTGTGTGTGTGTGTGTGTGTGTGTGTGTGTGTGTGTGTGTGTGTGTGTGTGTGTGTGTGTGTGTGCCTGCTCTGTCTTCTCGATCCCCAGTGAGTCGTGGAGGATGGCTGCTTATACTGAGCCAGGATTCTCTGGAGGTTTCTTCCTGTTAAAAGGGAGTTTTCCTCTCCACTGTCGCTTTATGCTTGCTTAGTATGAGGATTGCTGTATAGTCACTGACACTTGTCAGTGACTTGATGCAATTTGCTGAGTTCCTTATATAGGAAACATTATTTCTGATTGGCTTAATGAACTGTCCTGAATTGGAATGTTTATTATGTGAAGTGCCTTGAGACGACTCTTGTCGTGATTTGGCGCTATATAAATAAACTTGAATTGAATTGAATTCCTTTACTATTGTCATCAAAAATATTTAATCTCAATTCTGAGGCTGCTCTGTAAATAGTTAAACAATACACATATCAACTTCTGATCATTCCACATCAATTTCAGATTTAAAATAATGAATTGATGTAAACCACACAACCGCAGAAGGCAAAGTGTGTCCCCACTCCCTGTTCAGCTATTTTCCTGCACCAGATCTGGCTTTTACAGATGTTTCACACCTGTGTGAATAACACATCTGTCTAACAGAAAAACCACTTCTCCAACTCATTTACATATCTGAAAGGTGGCAGCCCTACCTGTGTCCATGCTGTCCAGGTCCAGGTGGTGAAGAACACACGATGAATCAGTCCCAGCTGATGGATGATCCTGAAGTGGTAGCAGGTTTTCTTTAGCCGTGTTTAGCTAACAGCTGCAATAGAAACAAAGCAGGAGAGCTGATTAAGATGCTGCTTCAGAACAACGCAGGAGATTAAAGATCCAACGCTTTGGTTCTGGCCAAAGGAACAGCAGCAGATCCAGAGGGCAGGAAGTCTAGAGAAAAGCTTTTCTCACCCACAACCTGATTCTGGAGCTCCGATTGTCAGGAAGACCGCAGAATATCTTCTCTGGTTCTGGAAAGAACTCCACCAAGTTGTTGAGGAGGAGAAGAAAGTTTCCACAGCCTGGTGAGAAGATTTCTGCAGCAGCAGCAGTTAGTCGCTTTAGCTGATCAACTCTCCCAGAGACTGAAGTGAAGACATTTTTACTGCAGAGCCTCAAATATTCTCCTCACACACCAGAACAAGCTAGATCTGCTAGCAGCTTCCGGTTTCTGCTTTTTCCGGTGGTCGGTGACCAGCGTAAAGGTGCACTACCGCCACCTGCTGGAGCAGAATAAAACACACCTGTGTTCAGAATGGGACTAATAAACCTGACATCTAATATCAATTATTTTATGCAGTTTCGTCAAAATCCCTGACAAACAAGCAAATTATATTTTTATTTTATTTCAGACCAATTTAATTTTTTTCTTGAATTTATTTAACGGCAAGGCAGCTTTATTTATATAGTACATGTAATACACAGAGACAATTCAATTTGCTTTCCAATTAAAAATGAAACCTTAAAATCAACTTGACAGCATCATTAAAATTCAAACTAATTAAAATTAGATGTAAAAATTAAAAAGAAAACAAAGGTATTACAGTGCAGAAATTACTGTGTAAGAACAAAGGCTGATGAATGTTTTCAATTTTGATTTAAACGTCACTAGAGATGGGGCACATGTGAATGTCCTAGCTGTTCCTAGAACTGCACTTTTCTGGACTGAGGTGTCTGATGTTTTTCCTGGGATCTGCTTTAGCCTCTCCTCCAATTTTGGAGTTACTGCCCCAATGACCACGGTTACCACCGATGTCCTCACTCAAGTTCTTCTCTGAGGCCTGGTACCTCTCTAGTTTCTCAAGTTCCTTTTTCCTGATGTTGCATCACTTTGTATTGCCACATCCACCACAACGGCTGTCTTTTGTTGTTTGTCCACCACCACCAAGTCCGGTTGATTCTCCATCACCAATTAGTCTGGATCAGGACGTCCCAAAGGAGCTTGGCTGTCTTAGGGGGTGTTACCCACTTTCACCTTGGGGCTTCCAAGTCAAGTCAAGCCAAATTTATTTATATAGCGCCAAATCACGACAAGAGTCGTCTCAAGGCACTTCACATAGTAAACATTCCAATACAGGTCAGTTCATTAAGCCAATCATAAAAAGTTTCCTATGTAAGAAACCCAGCAAATTGCATCAGTGACTTTACAGCAATCCTCATACTAAGCAAGCATTTAGCGACAGTGGAGAGGAAAACTCCCTTTTAACAGGAAGGAAGCCTCCAGAGGATCCTGGCTCAGTATAAGCAGCCATCCACCACGACTCACTGGGGATCGAGAAGACAGAGCAGACACACACACACACACACACACACACACACACACACACATTTTAAGTGGGAGAACTTGCACAATCGGTGGGTGACTAAATACTTTTTTGCCCCACTGTATAAGTTGTTATTCTCAAAACCACATGCAGATGCTATCTCGCTGTGCTCTACCTCACCCGTTTGGATCCGAGATGTCCAGGAGCCGACGACCCCACTGCATCTGGTTCGTAGAGAAACCCCGATGCAACCAAATCAGTCCTCAGATGTCTCCGGGTCACGATAGATGAAACCGAGTGTCTTAAAAATAACTCTGAAGGAGTTTTGAGTCAGCTTGTTCTGCAGGAAACTAACTTGTTTCAGCTTTGCAGGTGCAAAAAAGGTTTAAGGTTTTGACGTGTCAAAATTCTTGTGGTTAGAGAAATTATGCAAAAGATGGCCAATCTAAAGCTTTTCCTCTAAAACACTCGAACTGTTGAGCTGTTCGAACTGTTTTGTCTGAAGTTGAACTCTGGGAAAAACCGGAGTAAAACTAGTTTTAACGGATTGATGTTATCTTGAATAGACAACCAGAAGTTGGCACGTTGAGGATGTTACCAAGCATCGCAGAGACACACCCTCTGTGATGGAGACTCTGGATGTGGGCAAAAGGTTACTTATGTGTCATGCATTAACTTAACTTTACTTGTGAGTGCAAATGTTATGACCTCGTCATGTAAACATACTAAAACATATCATTGAACACAGGTTAGTGAACATTTCATTATTTATAATTACTATCAATAGCAATAACAAAAGTTCATTCAATGATTCTTTTTTAATTGTAAAAATCTTCTTTTCTTCTTCCATCTGGGAATTAAGGAGTTTATTTGAGAGAGTTCTTGCGATGGACCTTGGAGGAGAAAATTGTTATTTTTTATTTCTTTATTATCTCTGCAGTCCAGCTGGTGTGAGTAAGTAGGCTCTGATTAAAGGGCCTACATGCAGACTTCGAGACTCCTGTGAGGGGAAAAGATACTGTAGGATGTCATAGCCAGGGTAAGTTGACCTGGCTGTGCATTTGATCTGTGGGATCTCAAAATTAGGCCATTTTGTGACGTTACAAGGGATTCATCCCGATTTTGATCAAAAAAGCTGATTTTGGTTTCTTTTGTTAGATTGACAGCCCTCACTGCTTTTACCGATCCGTTAAGCATAGAATAGAATAGACTTTCATTTCCACAGTGGGGAAATTCACACGTTACAGTGAATCCTAGACCCACTGGAACACCTGAAGAGATTTGTAGTTGCAGTGCTCAGCATGAATGAGTAAGCCCCATTTAAAAAGAACAAATTTAATCAGTAGCTGAATGAACAAAAGAACAATTTCCAGAATTTTCACAAGGCTGGGTTTTATTGAACACTTTTAACTCCATAACACGAAATTAAGGTAAATAATATAACTTAGATCACAAAATCTTCAGTTTTACTAAAATTGGTTGAAGCAAAAATGAATACACCCCACAGCAAAAACGACTGGATCTAGTAATACATATGACCACCGTGATTTTCAAGGACAGCAGCAAGTCTTCTTGGCATGGAATGAACAAGATGGCAACATATTGCGACATTTATCTTCTTCCGTTCTTCGAGAATAACCTCTTCTAGAGTCAACATGTTGTACACATTGTGGATTGCCCATAATGAACACCATGCTCAGGGATAAGGGTGTCCATATGTGCTCTTGGCACCAGGATACCTTAACCCGCAGCTTGATCATCGACTTTGTTGTCGTTTTAGCCGATCTGCGGCTGCATGTCTCGGACACTTGAGTGAAGAGAGGGGTAGAGCTGTCAACTGACCACTACCTGGTGGTGAGTAGGCTCCGATGGTGGAGGAGGATGCAATGCAGACCTGGCAGGTCCAAATGTATTTTGAGGGTATACTGGGAACGTCTGGCAGTCTCTTGTCAAAAGTTCAACTCCCACCTACGACAGAATCTCCAAAACGGTCTGGAGAGGCGGGGGATATTGGGTCTGATTAGGCCGTTCCATGCCTCTATTGTTGAGGTGGCCGATCAGAGCTGTGGCCGCTGGGTCATTGGAGCCTGTCGTGGCGGCACCCCCAAACCTGCTGGTGGACACCGGCGGTTAGGGATGCTGTCAAGCTGAAGAGTCCTATCTGGTCTTTCTGGCCTGTAGAACTCCAGAGGCAGCTGATGGGTACCGGCAGTCCAAGCGGAATGCGGCTCAGGTGGTCTGGGAGACAAAAACCCAGGTGTGGGAGGAGTTCAGTGAGACCATGGAGCAAGATTTCCATATGGCTTTGTGGAGATTCTGGATCAATGTGGTGTGTCCTGGCTGTGGAACACTGGACCAGCTCTATACGCTCAGGGGGTCCTGGAGGGTGCATAGCAGTTTGCCCTACCAATCTACATGTGTTTTGTGGAATTGGAGAAGGCATTCGTCCACATCCCATGTGTGTGAATTCCATCCAACCATTCACACACTGGTGGGGATGAGCTATGATGTAGCAACAGCTGCCCTGGGGTGCACTGACAGAGGTGAGGCCTGCCAAACACTGGTGCCATCAGTCCCTCTAACCACCACCAGCAGGCAAGATGGGTTAAGTGTCTTGCCCAAGGACACAGCAGCAGCATTCTTTGGTCAGAGCCAGGATTAAATCTGTAAACTTCTGATTATTGGACAAGCCGCTCTTCCTTCTGAGCAACTGCTGTCCCATGAACTAATGAATTGAACTGTATTGGAATGTTTACTTTGTGAAGTGCTTTGAGACGACTCTTTTTGTGATTTGACGCTAATATGAATAAACTGAATTGAACTGAACTGCGTGTGAGGCGGACCATAGCAAACTGTGGTCAGATATGAAGTGACCATTTAGAGCAAAGCTAATGCACAGACCACTGGGCTGGTAAGTCCTATTTGCCAAGATTTTTTTTTTTTACAAATTTAAACTATATAATGGGGCGACAGTGGCACAGGAGTTAAGTGCTCGCCCCATAATCGGAAGGTAGCAGGTTTGAGTCCCGCTCAGTCTGTCGCTGTCGTTGTGTCCTTGGGCAAGACACTTAACCCACGTTGCCTGCTGGTGGTGGTCGGAGGGACTGGTGGCGCCAGTGATCGGCAGCCTCGCCTGTCAGTGCGCCCCAGGGCAGCTGTGGCTACATTGTAGCTCATCCCCACCAGTGTGTAAATGTGTGAGTGAATGGGTGAATGACTGATTGTGTTGTAAAGCCCCTTGAGGGGTTACATGACTCTAGAAGGCGCTATATCAAATACAGGCCATTTACCATAATCATCTGTAACTGTAACACTCCTCCTGAACTCGTGCCAAGATCAACAAGTCTTGTTAGTGTGACTGCAGCAGTATGGCTACCCGTGTAAGCTCCAGTAAAGAGAAAATAAGTCATTTGGGAAAGCTACGACATGCTCAATGGTTGGATCTAAAAGATAATCCACATATTGCAACAATATATCATCCCGAGACTGGCAGAACCTCAGAAACCTCCTGATTTACTACCATAGCAACATGCTGAGCTAGCGAGCAACTGCAGCACTACTGCGGTCAAAAAGCAGATGGGTAGCACTCAAACTGGAAGCTATCTTTTTTGGTTGTGCTATTTCAAAACATCGAAATTTTTAAAAATCCACCTTTGGAAATCCAATTTTTTAGCTATGGTTATAGAATTATTATTATTATTATTATTACAAATTCTTTCAAAGTAAATTTCCCTCTGACCAGTTAATTAAAACCGTCCACTCATTGTTATTACGTTTAATCATGTTCCACTTTGGCAGGAAGCTGCATAATAAGTCTCTTTGTCTTACACTCATGAATGGAGCTGAGTGGGGGGCAGAAAACGGAAGCCCATAGACATTATTATCAGATGTACCAGTGTTTTATAAATAAATAAAAACACCAAATGTGCTATTTCATCAGCTCAAGAATTGGGATTAGCTCCCAAAACTCCCCACCCCCACTCTCACTCATTACTATGACTGTAACACCTTAAAAACCATGGAAAAACCTGGATATCAAAAATAGTAAACATAGCAGGTCCTGGGTCAGAAGTAGCACTACAAAAAAATGCAGTTTTAACAATCACGTGCCCGTGTTGTTTGAAATCACAATTTGAATCAGAACATAATATATCGTGTAGCCCTAGTGGATGCTAAGGTGATTGATTAAAGTTTTCTGTCGACTAAATCTTTTTCTGTCCTGTGTGGACTCTCATGTGACTGTTTAATGTCGCCTTATAGCTAAATCTTTGTCCACAGAGCTCACAAGCAAAAGGCTTCTGTCCAGTGTGGACTCTCATGTGACAGTTTAAATTTGACTTCAGGCTAAATCTTTGTCCACAAAGCTCATAGACAAAAGGTTTCTATCCTGCGTGGACTCTCTTGTGACTGTTTAAAGTTGCCTCATGGCTAAATCTTTGTCCACAAATCTCACAGGCAAAAGGCTTCTGTCCTGCGTGGACACTCATATGACTGTTTAAATTAGTCTTCTGGCTAAATCTTTTTCCACAGAGCTCACAAGCAAAAGGCTTCTGTCCTGTGTGGACTCTAATGTGACTGTTTAAAGTTGACTTCTGGCTAAATCTTTGTCCACAGAGCTCACAGGCAAAAGGCTTCTGTCCTGTGTGGACACTCATGTGACTGTTTAAATTAGTCTTCTGGCTAAATTTCTTTCCACAAAGCTCACAGGCAAAAGGCTTCTGTCCTGTGTGGACACTCATGTGACTGTTTAAAGTCGCCTTATAGCTAAATCTTTGTCCACAGACCTCACAAGCAAAAGGCTTCTGTCCAGTGTGGACTCTCATGTGACTATTTAAATTTGACTTCAGGCTAAATCTTTGTCCACAGAGCTCACAAGCAAAAGGCTTCTGTCCAGTGTGGACTCTCATGTGACTGTTTAAAGTTGACTTCAGGCTAAATCTTTGTCCACAGAGCTCACAGGCAAAAGGCTTCTGTCCTGTGTGGACACTCATGTGACTGTGTAAATTAGTCTTCTGGCTAAATTTCTTTCCACAAAGCTCACAGGCAAAAGGCTTCTGTCCTGTGTGGACACTCATGTGTATGTTTAAATGCGTCTTTTGGCTAAATCTTTTTCCACAGTGCTCACAGGTAAAGGGTTTCTGTCCTGTGTGGACTATTTTGTGTCTGTTTAAATGTGTCTTATGGCTAAATTTTTTTTCACATAACTTACAAGCAAAAGGCTGCTGTCCTGTGTGGACTCTCATGTGACTGTTTAAATTTGCCTTCAGGCTAAATCTTTGTCCACAGAGCTCACAGGCAAAGGGCTTCTGTCCTGTGTGGACACTCATGTGACTGTTTAAATTAGTCTTCTGGCTATATTTCTTTCCACAAAGCTGGCAGGCAAAAGGCTTCTGTCCTGTGTGCACACTCATGTGTATGTTTAAATGCGTCTTTTGGCTAAATCTTTTTCCACAGTGCTCACAGGTAAAGGGTTTCTGTCCTGTGTGGACTATTTTGTGTCTGTTTAAATGTGTCTTATGGCTAAATCTTTTTTCACATAACTTACAAGCAAAAGGCTTCTGTCCTGTGTGGAATCTCAGGTGAATGTTAAAACTTGATATTTTTCTAAACATCTTTCCACAGTCATCACAACTAAATGATGTACGCTCTTTATGGACTTCCCTACACGAGTCTACATGCTTCTTCATTCTAATACACTTCTTACTAACCAAACATTCTGAAGACCTTATTTCTGAATGACTCACTCTCACATGCCTCTGGCGAGACCACTTGTGGACAAATTGTTTACCACACTCAGGGCAACTAAACAATTTGTTGACAGTCTTGACGTCTGACTCAAAACAACTGTTTGCAATCCAATTATTGCCTCCGTCTCCAGTTTCAGGTCTAGAGTCTGACAGCTCAGAGTCTAGAGTCACATCATCATCATCATCCTCTTCACTAACTTCAGGGTCTGAAGAATCAGATGTCTGTTCATGAGGGTTCAGATCAGGGTTCCTTCTAGTTTCTGCTCCCCCGTCAGTCTCTGCTGCCACCTGGTCAGCTGTGCTGCTGGTTGGAACATCTCTGTCTTCTATTTGCTGTTGATGAAGCTGTGAGAACAGAGGTTTCTCTTCATTATCCTCACTCTTTATTGCAACAGTGAATGGAAACCTGGCAGCATCAGGCTCCTCTTTCAAACGGAGATGCTCTCCCTCCAGACTGGACAAGAGCTCCTCCTGTTCCTCCTTTATGTGGAGGTGTTCTGGGTCCTGCAGGTCCACACCAGCACTCTGTTCTTCAGGAGCTTCTTCTTTAACCTGCACCCCCTGTTGAACGTCTGTAGAAAACACATTAAATGTATGACAGATTGATGTAACTTTATATTTACACATACAATATAACAGTTGTATTATTTTACATCACATCTCCCTTTAGGGAACATAATTTTTTTGTACTCCTCCGTGTTAGTTACATGCACGCGCACACTCTCTCACATTCACATGCACGCACGCACGCACGCACACACACACACACACACACACACACACACACACACACACACACACACACACACACACACACACACACACACACACACAGCTCCTAACTGAAAAGATTGTGGGCACCACTTACTAATATGTTTATTTCGAGCTAGGGCTGAGCAATATCTTGCTATTTGAAAATATCTATATAATTTTGAACAGGAAACAAGACAACTCTGTATCATTTATATCAATAAAAATATACAAGTGTATTTCTGTTATCGGACGAAGCTATAGGGCTGTAGCGAAGCCTCGACGAAGTCGACGGCTCGATTCTAAAAATTTGTCGACGTCAGATCCGGAAGTCGACGCACCACGCCCACTTGTTGCATCCCCAGGAGTTTGTGAATAGAGGAGGAATCTGCCTGTTTTTCCTCTAGTTCGCCCTCTTCTCCGCCTTCACTAACATCTCCGCCAAATACCGAAGACCCGGAACAACGTCCGTCCACTACTAGATTATTTTCCTGTTTTGCCCCTTCGTCTCCCGGCAACGGACAACAACTTCCGGGGTCAGATGCGCTGCTTCGTGTCTATCGCAGATGTAGAAAATAACCGGGAGCGCTTCTCCCTTCATTAAGGAGCTTCTTTCAGACATGAGGAGAGCTGTTTTGGTGGTAGCAGTCTCTCCTCCGTGCTGGTCTGTTTGCTTCTGGGTGTTTTTGGTTTATTTAAACTTGGTAACTTGAACTTAATGTTGGTAAAGCTACTGTTAGCATCTTCGCTAACAGCTTCTTGCGTTGGGATAAGCTGTTACGTTTTGGTTTAGAGTTCATCTTTTTTGTGGTGTAGATCTCCCTTTTATTACATTTAGAGTGTTGTGGGTTTTCGGTTTAGTGTAAAATATCACCTGAGTTTGGTTTAACCCGTAACACCACTCGCCTCACGCACATAAGTGACCAAAACAAAGCAGCATGGAGACACTCCATCTTCTACCACCTCTCAGGCAGCAGCCTGCACTCCCAAGTTCTACACGTCACCAGAACATAACCAAGCAGTGTTATACAAAATGGAAGGCCTGTAGTGTATTCTCTTACAGTAAGAATTTATCAATTTTTTTGAAGAATTTATTTGAGATTTTCTGGTTTTTGTTAATTGTGCAATAGAAAAATAATCATTAGATTAATTTTCTAAATAGTCATTAGAATAGTCGACTATTCGATAAAATAATCGTCAGAATAATCGTTTTAAAAATAATCGTTTACCCCCAGCCCTAGCGAATCAAAAGAAAGTTTCCTATATAAGGAACCCAGCAAATTGCATCAAGTCACTGACTAGTGTCGGTGTCTTTACAGCAATCCTCATACTAAGCAAGCATTTAGCGACAGTGGAGAGAAAAACCTCCCTTTAACAGGAAGAAAACTCCAGAAGATCCTGACTCAGTAAAAGCAGCCATCCACCACGACTCAATGGGAATTAAGAAGACAGAGCACGCACACGCACACGCACACGCACACGCACACACACACACACACACACACACACACACACCAAGTAATGTGTCTATGGTTACATTGTGATTTCTTAGTAAATATTCTATTTGGCAAGAGATAAAGTTTATTGTATTTATCCTAGTGAATCTATAATTAAACGGGTAAACTAGTAGTAGCAAATTCAATGTCAAAGAAAGTTCATGTTATTATCCGGAGAGGGAGAATGATTAAATGGTTAGCAACAGTGTTCAAGACGATGGCCCCCTCCATGAGGCCACCACAGCTCAGCAGAACATCATTGTAGCTTCTTCTGGGGAGGAAAACACTTAGAGAAAAAATAAAGCTAACAGCTGAAATAGCAGGAAATAATACAGTTAAAGAGCAGATTGTAGAAGAAAGTAGTCGAGTATGGGAAGTGGTCAGTGTGTGCTCCAGCAGTCTAAGCCTATAGCAGCATAACTACAGAGATAACTATGGATAACCTAGCCTTTTAGATGGAGGCATGTTAGAGGCAGGGCAAGGGAGAGCCGTCTTTACTGACTGTTCACTCCACCTCTGTCTACTCCCCCACCTGTCCAGATCCAGGCTAACATCAGATTTTAATAGGTCCCATCAAATAAAAATGTTTTAAGCATTTTCTTAAAAGTAGATAATGTGTCTGCCTCATGGACTAAAGCTGGGAGCTGGTTCCACAAGAGAGGAGCCTGATAACTAAAAGATCTGCCTCCCATCCTATTTTTAGATATTCTGGGAACCACCAGTAAACCTGCAGTTTGAGAGCGAAGTGCTCGGTTAGGAACGTATGGAACAATCAGATCACTGATGTATGATGGAGCTTGATTATTAAGAGCTTTATATGTGAGAAGCAGGATCTTAAAATCTATTCTGAATTTAACAGACAACCAGTGTAGGGAAGCTAAGACAGGAGAGATATGATCTCTCGTTTTAATTCTCTTCAGAACTCTAGCTGAAGCATTTTGGACAAGCTGAAGACTTTTAACTACATTCTGTGGACTTCCTGAGAGTAATGAATTACAGTAATCCAGTCTTGATGTAATAAATGCATGAACTAGTTTTCAGAATCACTCCTGGAAAGGAAGCATCTAATCTTAGCAATATTCCGAAGGTGGAAAAAGAAAATCCTACAAACCTGTTTAACGTGGGATTTGAATGACATGTCCTGGTCAAAGATAACGCCAAGGTTCCTTACTTTGTTCTCAGAGACTAATGTAATGCCATTCAGGTCAGGTGATTGGCTAAGCAATTTCCTTTTCTGGATTTCTGGTCCAAAGATGAGAACTTCAGTCTTGTCTTGATTTAAAAGAAAAAAGTTTTCAGTCATCCAATTTTTTATGTCCTCAAGACAAGCCTGTAATCTAACTAACAGATTAGGTTCATCAGGGTTAATGGATAGAAATAACTGAGTATCGTCAGCATAACAGTGGAAGTTTATCCCATGCTGTCTAATGATTTTACCAATTGGGAGCATATATATAGTAAAAAGAATTGGTCCAAGCGCTGAACCCTGTGGTACTCCACAAGAAACCCTGGAGTATGAAGAAGATTTGTCATGTACATTTACAAAACGATATCTATCAGACAGGTAGGATTTAAACCAGCCTAGTGCTGTTCCTTTGATCCCTACAACATGTTCAAGCCTTTCTAAAAGAACATTGTGATCAATTGTGTCAAAGGCAGCACTGAGATCTAACAAGACTAGAACAGACACAAGATTCTTATCTGAGGCCATGAGAATATCATTTGTAACTGTCACTAATGCAGTTTCAGTGCTGTGATACTCTCTAAAACCAGACTGAAATTCCTCAAACAGATCATTAGTGTTTAAATGCTCACATACTTGGAAGGCCACTATTTTCTCCAGGACTTTGAATAAAAATGGAAGGTTAGATATTGGTCTATAATTCATTGGGTCATCTGGATACAGAGAAGGCGTCTTAAGTAAGATTACAGCAACCTTAAAATCCTGTGGTACATGTCCATTTACTAAGGATAGATTGATTGTATCTAGAATGGGGGCAGTAACCAAAGGAAATGCATCTTTAAATAATTTGGTTGGGATTGGATCTAAAATGCAAGTTGAAGGTTTAGATGAAGCTAATATTTTTGATAACTCTTAAAGCTCAACTAGATCAAAATGGTTCAAACACAGATGAGGTTCTACAGTTACCTCAGATGCTGCCTCACTTACTGAGGAAGAAGGAATCACATTAGGGAGGATGCTAATGATTTTGTTTCTAATAGAATTAATTTTACTCATGAAAAATCCCATAAAGTCGTTGCTGCTGAGGGCTAAAGGCTGATTTATGCTTCTCCGTCTGCGTCAGTGCAGAGACACGCAACTCCATTATCCGTCGTTGCGTAGGGCCCCGGTAGGCACGCAAGTACGTACAGAGTTGAGCCCACTTTTTTAAACATCCGTCGAACGAGATGGATTACGCAAGCTAGTGAATGGTTGGTCCAGAAACCTGAGATCACTTCCGTCATGACGCAATGTCCTGTAAATTTGTCAACAGTGCCCGAGTCGTGTGTAGAAAGAAGTAGATATGGACCAGTTCGAGGAACATCTAGCGGAGGAAGTACGGAAATACGAACATTTATATAAACCGTCTTTAAAGAATTATAAAGATGCCCAGGTCATTTACAACTCCTGGAAGGAAATTGCCCGTATTTTGGAAGTGGATGTGGAGCAATGCATGAAGAAGTGGAGGAGCATGCGGGACAAATTTGTCCGAATGAAAAAAAAATCTTGAGGGGCACCAGTGGTGATCAAGGTGGCAAAAAGGTTCCGGCTTTTTATGTTTTGCTGTCGTGGTTGGAGCCGCACATAAAACATAGACCCACATCTTCAAATTCCAAGGTAACTACTTTAGCATGCTGTGTTTGTACTCCCTATTTGTCTGTGCTACCAGCTACACATGGCGCTAACAAGCTGCAGTTCTAGTTAAAAGCTTTCATCAAAGTCACCCAAATTCATCTTATTATACTACTGTGATTACCTAAACCTATTAATAAGTATATTTGCATTCTGTTTTTACCAGTGTATGTAATGAAGATATAACTATATGCCTGTGTTTGTTGAACAACAGGCCCCAACTGAACCACCTCAGGACCAGGCCTCATGTGGATCCTCACAGGATGAGGCCCCATCACAACTTCAGGGGTCTTCACTGCCTGCCTCTCAACAACAGCAGGATGAGTCCTCACCGGATCCTGTGTCATCACATTCCTCATCAGCTTCATCAAATTCATCTCCATCACTCCATGCCTCCCTTGACCGAGAATCCGTTTCAACAGATCAACAAACAGTCGATGAGTTGCTAGAGTCCACCAGCAAACCACGACCT